CGGCGCTCGCGCCGCTGTTCTGCGCCTTTGTGGCGTGTGGCGGACGCCGCTTGATGCCGAGTGATCCAGGGGAAAGCCCTGGGAAAATCATGGGAAAATCATGGAATATTGTATAATGGGATACCCTCTGGTAAACTAACATAACTATTGAAAATTGCCATTTATAGTGAGTTTTCCCATTAATAATGGTGATTTTCAATAGCTATGTTAAATTACCAGAGGGTAATGATTAATAGGAATATTTGGGATTTTAAATATGGGATAATGATTAATAGTATAAATCATGGGATTTTTTAAAGGAATCTTTGGGATAATGATGAAAAAAGTGAATAGATGTGAATAGTTTTTTTTTGGGAATATCATGGAATATATGGGAACATATAGGGTATATATATAATATAGTGGGACAATTCATTCAATATGTTTATATAATCTCTGATCATGTGAAAATATAGATTTGAACAGCAATAATTCACCCCAATCATCTCAATTTAGTTATGGCTAATGGGTAATCAAAGGGCTTTCTATTTGGTTCAAAGAATGACTAGCCAATGGTGTATATAGCCATTTAATGTTGGCCATAATGGTGAATTATATAAATATAATGGTCGACGTCAATGCTTAACATTGAGTATACTCATCAATAGTGGATGATTACTGGATAATTGATGGGGCATTGGAATGATGTGGGAAACGAAATGCCAAACCTAGCATTTGGGGATGGTTTATACCACCCATAAATATGGAGATGTTGGGGATGGTTTACGACGTTGAGTTTACCACATTATATATAACATAAATAAATACATAAACAAATAAACAAAAATAGTTTAATATATATATAATATGTACACGGATTCAATCAGCAGTCATGGATCATGGCGGAATTTAAACAAACTTAAATTGGAATATGGTATCAAATAACAAGAATCTTAGGGGATTCAACCAAACCCACACTGGTTAATTATAAATAAATGGTGATTTAATTAAAACACCACTGCCACTCTTTCCTTTTTTTTGAGGATATAATATAATGGGAATCCATTTGGGATTATAATGGGATATATAACCAACAATAATGGACATTATAAGTTTGGGGATGTGTAGCCAAGAACTGGTTATTTATTGGGATTATACTAGGTTTTAACAAGCAATAATGCATCGTAGTGGGGTTAGAATGGGAATATGACATGAAATAATGGGAAGATAATGCGACTAAAACGAACCATTTTATGGATACATAATTCGTATAGAACAGGAGTACAAGGGGAGCATGATGGGTAAATAGTGGGATTAAAGTTTAAAGGGGTGATTATTGGATTATTAAATTATAGTCATAGTATATTATAGTACTATAGGATAGGGCAATTCATGCCATATTAATGATATAACTAACAACAAGTTGCCATTTAATGAATGGGAGTACCACAGGAGATAACCAATAGGATTAAATGGAAAACATATGGGGCACCACCCGGAAATCCGGAAATCTAAAAGTTGTGGATACATGGTGATTTTCCATACCTATGATAATTTTGAGTCGGGTAACCCGTAAAAGATGGAAAAACAAATTCCTACGAAGGTAGTTATAAATGTGTTTTCTTTTTTTGGGGGGCTGCTTCATTTGTGTAAAAGTAACATAGTTTGATTTTGTTTTTGAGACTACAAAATTATAAGATGAGGCATCCGGATATCATGTGATAAATATATATATATATTTATTTGTTTATTTATTATATAGTTTGGAAATTTTATAGTTTGGAAATATGAACAATTCTGATTTGTATATACCCTCTGGGCAACTAACATAACTATGGAAAATCACCATTTAAATCCACAATAAATGGTCATTTTCAATAGCTATTTTGACATAACCAGAGGGTCCATTCGATTCTCCAGGTGAGAGCCTGGATGCAGCCGGGATGCCCAGGGTTCCCATGGTTTCATGACAGGGTGACATGATGCAACATGGTGAAAAACATATACGATTTGGTGAACATAGTACTGGAAAATCACCGAATCTGTTTTCTCAGGTAAATTCTCCACTCCAAATCTTTCACAGTTTGCAGAGTTTGTGACATTTGCATCAGCCATTTTGGTTGTTTTGGCTCTCATGTTGAGCTATTTTGGGCTTGATTTGTTGGTGCTCCGCGGCGCATTTTTTTCAAGCGTCATCGGCGCCGATGTACTGTAATTTGCCATGACCCTCGAAGGAACTACTTCAAGAAATGAAAAGTATGATGAAAACAATATGAAAACACTTACCACATAGCCAAGTTACCAGCTGTAAACCCGGCTGTGCTTGTTAGAGTCAGGCCTGTTGGCTAAAATCCGCTCAAAAAAGGTTGACGGTAGATACTACTTGCACGACAGACATTTTGTGGAGGTTGACTACATAGGTGTAGCCACAGCCGGTTGGGTGCAGAGGGAGAACTATGATTTCATTCCTAACAATGATTGTTTAATTATTCATGAATTTATTGTTTTTGTTGTGTAGTTACATGTTAGCTACGATATTGCAATGCCGGTCTTATTGGAAATAAACAGGACTTTATCATACACATACTACGTTTTTTCTTGCTTATTTATGAGCAAAACCATTCCCTTTCGATCCAAACGCGTCTTGAGAAGGTACTTGAGCCCCTAAGTCAGACCCCAGTCATGCTGATCCACGGAGATTAATGCATTCACGGGGGCCCGACCAAAACCCAAAGGTTACTATTGTCAGATGATTAATACGCTACCGTTAAATGATTAACAAGCTCCTTCTAGGACTATTCTATTTATATTTTCACCAATTATAATTAATGTTCCCCACATAGGTTTATTCAATATTAGTGTCTTAATAGAGATGTAAATGGGTAAAACAATAATAAACCATTCCCCTAATCACTATTTTTATAGGTGGTATGTTTACCATTCCCAGTCGTGGGTGGTTTATGGCATTGTTTTACCCCCATTATTCATTGGTTTATGGCAGTGTTATCATTCTACCCATATATATATATATGAGAGAGAGAGATAGATAGATAGATAGATTAGATTAGATTAGATCAGATCAGATTAGATTAGATTAGATGAGATGAGATAGATAGATAGATAGATAGATAGATAAGATAGATAGATAGATAGATAGAAGATAGATAAGATAGAAGATAGATAAGATAGATAAGATAGATAAGATAGATAAGATAGATAAGATAGATAAGATAGATAAGATAGATAAGATAGATAAGATAGATAAGATAGATAAGATAGATAAGATAGATAAGATAGATAAGATAGATAAGATAGATAAGATAGATAAGATAGATAAGATAGATAAGATAGATAAGATAGATAAGATAGATAAGATAGATAAGATAGATAAGATAGATAAGATAGATAAGATAGATAAGATAGATAAGATAGATAAGATAGATAAGATAGATAAGATAGATAAGATAGATAAGATAGATAAGATAGATAAGATAGATAAGATAGATATAGATAAGATAGATAAGATAGATAAGATAGATAAGATAGATAAGATAGATAAGATAGATAAGATAGATAAGATAGATAGATAGATAGATAGATAGATAGATAGATAGATAGATAGATACATACATACATACATACATACATACATACATACATACATACATACATACACCCTCCGGTAAACATACAAAAAACAATGGAAAATCACCATGTTTAATGGGTAAATCAACTATTTCTATGGTAATTTTCAGTAGCAAACTGTCCTAACAACAACCAGCAGGACACCAATTACCCCGTGGGGAGCCGGCACGAAGCGGGGCATCCCAGATGGAAGCGAAGTGGTGCCAGCGCTGGTGAACGCCTTGCCGAGAATTCATCCATGGGACCCAAATTCTTTGCATTGTTCGAATTTTCATAGTCATCATAGAATTCTATGAAATACATATCTTTCATCATTTGTTTCGCACATTTTTTTGACATGTTTTGGGTAAACACATGCATGCAAAGCTAATTGATGATGGATGTGACACACGGTACACACACGTAACCGACATGCTGGTTACAAGGTCTTGCAACCTGTGGCACCTCCCATTGACGCACCCTACATGGAAGCACTCGAGGACCAGAGTGGGACATCACCATGGCAGTACCTGGCAGTATAAGCAGTAGAACTGGTGGTGAAACCAATACCCTGGGTCTATTTGAAAATGACCCTGGCACTTCCAGGAGAACCACTCAGCACACATCAGCATGCTATTTTCCTATTTTTCCTGGGCGCCATTCCCCTTGCGTGTTCAAGCCCAGGGCAGCTGTATATTTCATGGCAGGAGCGCCGGAGAGGGCTCAAACGAGGGGCATGTTGACAGCTGAAAATGGTGGAATGTGTGGTCTCACCCTGCATCAAGTCGTTTGATGACAGCAAAAGAGTCGCAGGCTAAGTGGGGCGGTACCCTACCGCCGTAATATCAAATTCTGAAAGAAACAAGTTTGGACCTAATGCCATGTCAGTGAACAGGATTTGGAACTTGACATTGACATGCTTGAAATGTCTTGAAATCACTCTCAAACTTGCTGCTCTTCCTAGGATTTTTCTGCCAATCCAGCGGCAATGGGCCCCTGGGTCCCACAAGACCAGTGGGGAACGCAGAATATAACATATATTACTGGTTGGTGGTTTGGAACATTTTTTTTATTTTTCCATATGTTGGGAACAATAGTCCCAACTCTGACTAATATTTTTCGGAGGGTTTGAAACCACCAACCAGCTGGTATATAGATGTTGCAAAGACCTACCATTGGTTTGCAAAGAACCCCTGGGAGATCTAACTTGGGGCGACCAACCATGCAGCATTTTGTCGAACCGGAAGTGGTGGTTCATCATATTTATTTTGATAAAACATATAACCAGGTTTCAATTTGCCATCCCAACTGAGTGGCTGAGTGGCTCAAACTCAACCCAACCACCAACCGTCACCAACGTGGCCCGACTCCTTTCGGATCTTTCGGCTCCAGCTACCCAGCTCGTTGCTAACCGGGTGACAGGTTTCTCCGTCGGCAAGTCATGGTGTCCTTGCCTCAGATGGGTCCAGTGGGACCGTCAAAGTCCATGGGTCATCCATTGTTCCCGAGAGCGTCTGAGCGCAGGGTTCTTCCAATAGTGGGGGTCTGTCAAACATCTTCTCATCTTCACATCTCATCTTCACATCCTCTCATCTTCACATCTCATCTTCACATCCTCTCATCTTCACATCCTCTCATCTTCACATCCTCTCATCTTCACATCTGCTCATCTTCACATCCTCTCATCTTCACACCTTCCCATCTTCACATCTGCTCATCTTCACACCTTCCCATCTTCACATCTGCTCATCTTCACACCTTCCCATCTTCACACCTTCTCATCTTCACATCTGCTCATCTTCACACCTTCTCATCTTCACATCTGCTCATCTTCACATCTGCTCATCTTCACACCTTCCCATCTTCACATCTGCTCATCTTCACACCTTCCCATCTTCACATCTTCACATCTGCTCATCTTCACATCTGCTCATCTTCACACCTTCCCATCTTCACATCTTCTCATCTTCAAATCTGCTCATCTTCACACCTTCCCATCTTCACATCTGCTCATCTTCACATCTGCTCATCTTCACATATGCTCATCTTCACATCTGCTCATCTTCACATCTGCTCATCTTCACATCTTCTTATCTTCACACCTGCTCACCTTCTCTCTCACGCCTTCTTTTTATCTTTCTCTCTTAAGGCCGAGGGTGGTGCCGGCGGCGCGTCACGAAACGTCAACGCTTTCGCACGAAATGAGGGTCGATCGGCAAAAACTGAGGTAAAATTGCGATTTGACTTGTGCCGGAGCAACCCTTTCGCACGAAATGAGGGTCGATCGGCAAAAACTGAGGTAAAATTGCGATTTGACTTGTGCCGGAGCAACCCTTTCGCACGAAATGAGGGTCCATCGGCAAAAACTGAGGTAAAATTGCGATTTCGATCGGCAAAAACTGACGTAAAATTGCGATTTGACTTGCCCCGGAGCAACCCTTTCGCACGAAATGAAGGTCGATCGGCAAAAACTGAGGTAAAATTGCGATTATACTTGTGCCGGAGCAACCCTTTCGCACGAAATGAGGGTCGATCGGCAAAAACTGAGGTAAAATTGCGATTTGACTTGTCCCGGAGCAACCCTTTCGCACGAAACGAGGGTCGATCGGCAAAAACTGAGGTAAAATTGCGATTATACTTGTCCTGGAGCAACCCTTTCGCGCGAAATGAGGGTCGATCGGCAAAAACTGAGGTAAAAGTGCGATTTTACTTGTGCCGTTCTTGTCTGTGTGTAAAAGCGCCTGTGTGTAAAAAGCGTCTGTGTGTAAAAGTCTCTGTGTGTAAAAGCGTCTGTGTGTAAAAGCGTCTGTGTGTCAAAGTGTCTGTGTGTAAAAGCGTCTGTGTGTAAAAGTGTTTGTGTTCAAGTGTTTCTGTGTAAAAGCCTCTGTGTGTAAATGTGTTTGTGTGTGAAAGCGTTTATGTGTAAAAAGCGTCTGTGTGTAGAGGTTGTCTGTGTGTAAAAGCGTCTGTGTGTCAAAGCGTTTGTGTGTAAAAGCGTCTGTGTGTAAAAGTGTTTGTATGTAAAAGCTTCTGTGTGTAAAAGTGTTTGTGTAAAAGTGTTTGTGTAAAGCGTCTGTGCGTAAAAGTGTTTGTATGTAAAAGCTTCTGTGTGTACAAGCGTCTGCGTGTAAAAGCGTCTGTGTGTAAAAGTGTTTGTATGTAAAAGTGTTTGTGTGTAAAAGTGTTTGTGTGTAAAAGTGCCTGTGTGTAAAAGCGTCTATGTGTAAAAGCGTCTGTGTGTCAAAGTGTTTCTGCGTAAAAGTGTTTGTGTGCAAAAGCTTCTGTGTGTACAAGCGTCTGCGTGTAAAAGCGTCTGTGTGCAAAAGTGTTTGTATGTAAAAGTGTTTGTGTGTAAAAGTGTTTGTGTGTAAAAGTGCCTGTGTGTAAAAGCGTCTATGTGTAAAAGCTTCTGTGTGTCAAAGCGTTTGTGTGTAAAAGCAGCTCCTGTCTGTAAAAAGGTCTGTGTGTAAAACTGTCTGTGTGTAAACATGTCTGTGTGTAAAAGTGTCCGTGTAAAAGCGTCTGTGTGTCAAAGCGTCTGTGTGTAAAAGCGTCTGTGTGTAAAAGTGTTTGTGTGTAAAAGTGTTTGTGTGTAAAAGCCTCTGTGTGTAAAAGCGTCTGTGTGTAAAAGCGTCTGCGCGTAAAAGCGTCTGTGTGTAAAAGTGTTTCTGTGTAAAAGTGTTTGTGTGTAAAAGTGCCTGTGTGTAAAAGCGTCTATGTGTAAAAGCTTCTGTGTGTACAAGCATTTGTGTGTAAAAGCAACTCCTTTGTGTAAAAGGGTCTGTGTGTAAAAGTGTCTGTGTGTAAACGTGTCTGTGTAAAAGCTTCTGTATGTAAAAGCTTCTGTGGGTAAAAGCTTTCTGTGTAAAAGTGTCTGTGTAAAAGCTACTGTGTGTAAAAGCTTCTCACTATTTGGTCTTGATACTCCTCTTCTCGACTGCCTATAACACATCTTTCATACATCGTTTCTAAAATTGCGTCTCCATACTAACAAGAGAAGACCCTGCTCCTCTACGCTCTCGGGCCATCCGTCGTCTAGTTTGTTTTTGTTGAGTCTATACGACATGTCTATGTTATATTGTATTTCTATGATTTATACATTGATATACACACACCATGGCAAATCTGTTTGTGCTGTCCCATATTGTCCCCAACAAGTTCCCGAACGAACAGGATAACGGTTTATGACCCACCAATGGCGACAATAGCTCAATACATAAGCGATAGACTAACCAGCATTAACCAGCCATAGATTTCCTGGTTCAAGCAAGGGCCCCCCTAGGTTGTTTCCAACTATCCCAGCTGATTTGTGATGATTTATGGATATGTATGGTGGGTTTTTCTATGTTTTTCTCATCTACTGGTTGGATTTTACCAATGTATAACAGGTTTTCCTATGGATATTTATGGTTTTCTATGGTTTTTTATCCATGTTTTTTCTATGTTTTTTTCCTATGTTGTTCCATTCTTTCAGGCCATGGCACCCCGCTGGCGTTTCATCTTTGCGCTGGTTTTTCTTGGCGTTGGTGGAGTTTGCGGTGAAGGTGTAGGATTCACGTCTGGGTTCCCAAGACCCTATACAAACCCAGAAAAAGATGGAAAAGTCATAAATATCCCACTGAATTTTACGGAATAACTGTGATCAACTTTTCTATCTTGTTGGGTGTTGCTACAGTTCATTGTGGTCAGGATATGTCAGGATGAAAGGGTCCTAGGGTCGTTCCGAAGGACCGTTGATGCGCCGCGCGGGTACGGTGGACAGGTCCAACAGGTCGACCGGGCCGTGGCCATGGGAATGGAGGACTGGTGGAGGACTGTTACCATCCCTCAAATTAGCCTCTGGTAAACTAACATAACTATGGAAAATCACCATTTTTCATGGGAAAATCCACTATAAATGGTGATTTTCCATAGTTATGTTAAATTACCAGAGGGTAGCCTCTGGTAAAGCTAGAAAAAGCTATCGAAAATAGATGAAAATAGCTATTTCTAGTTGATGACTAGCCAGCTATAAAATGGTGATGTTCCATATGGGACAGTTTACCAGAGGGTAACATAGACGTCAAAAAGGGGATTAGAAGATTAGCTTCCACTAAAACTATAGCTTATTCTCAGGATCGATGTTGACTTGGAGAGGATAGTTACTATAGTTCCCCCACTTTGGATGAATTAGATATTGCCTTTGTAAGTGGCATTGAATTAGTGGTTGTACCGAAGCTTCACCCTCCTAAGGGACCAAAAGGGGGAGGTGCAGAGACACCAACGATAATGTTTTTTCGTAGTCACCCCAAAAAGGATATATAATATACAGTGATTTACCACTATTTTAGTGGGATTTACATGGATTTACTGTTCTATCTTTTTGGGTTTGCTATAGATCCCAAACATGTTTGGCCTTGCCGGTGGTTGTTTCGCAGTGAGCTCCGCTCTGGTCGAAAAAACGGTCGACCAATTCTCACAGGTCAACGCATGTGACGCTTGATCCAAGCCGGAAGGATGGAAGGTGCCCGTCTCATGTGATTTATCTGGGCAAAAAAAATAGCACTGCGATAGGGGAAATCAATGGAAATCATCGTTTATTTCAGAGGAAACATCCCAAACTGGCCGCAAGTTTTCAGGTTAGTGAATTGTTATAATTTGCCCAGATTTATTGTTTGCTAAAACCATGTTAGACCCAGTGAGAAGCCCTGATTGGGTATGGTGGAGATGGATTGAAATGAACGTTGAATGCTTAACATGGGTATGTATTTTGGATGAGCTTTGAGTTTGCGAGTTTTAAGGCACCTCATTCTTGGGATAAACATGGAGGCGAAGCAAAAAGAGAGAAATAATGTGGGAGCCACGGTTTGTAAAGGGAGAGCAGGATTAGTTTATTCGATATCCCTACCCCATGACGGAAACCATTGGTAAACTCTCTCCAGAAAAGCTCGTTTTGTGATGGCAGAAGTTCATATTGGTGGATTAATCCAGTCATTCCAAAAGAAGATCTGGGACGCCATCAACATGGGTATATCCTGAATTCGAACGTGAGTCAAAATCCAGCGAACAATTTACTGTAACACAAAAGTTTTATTTATTTTTTACACACACACACATGTATATATATATATATACCACACACACACACACACGCAGACACACACACACATATATAATTATATATATATATACACGTAATGTTGTGCAGTACCCGCCAGAAATGTTTGTATCTCAAGCTCGTTGAGTAAACTACATTCAGCGCTGCTATTTTCTTTGCATCTTTGCTGTTGTTGCTTAAGTCTCTTGATGTCTCTATCAGGATTTGATTTTGCATCCCCTCTTTCTTAGTCGCTTTTTACCACACATTTTTTGAATCAACACGTTTCCAAGGTGGGCCCACACACGATAGCTAAGTTGCTTTGGTTCAGTAGGCGAATTAAAGCCCCATTTACAGCCCCCCAATTATGATGATGTTCCCTTCCTATGAGCATCCCTCATTTATGGGGGATGTTCATGGATTTTCCATCGATATCTTACCCTATGGTAATTTGTTACATAGCTATTGAAAATGGTGATTTATAATAGATCCATTGAAAATGGTGGATCTTTCCAGTTCGTTATTGGACAGTTTACCAGGGAGGGTAAATCCTATTAAATCCCATTAGATCCCATTAAACCACCATAAAATCCCATGAAAATCCCATTAAAATCCCATTAGATCCCATTAAACCACCATAAAATCCCATTAAAATCCCATATAAAACCGGGGGTAGCACCGATTTCTCCCATGATCTCAGGTCTGCTTTCATACAGATGGGCTCTGGGGTGGACCGCTGTGGGGCCAGGCGGGGCTCCAAGTGGTGACTGTGCTCGGTTTTGAAAGTGGAAATTCGTTGCATGGGTCGTTTGTTTGTTTTGTTTGTTTTGTTTGTTTTGTTTTTGGGGGGGTTTTGTTAGTGTTATATAGTTAGTTAGTTTAGTTTAGTTTAGTTTTAGTTTAGTTAGTTAGTTAGTTGCTTAGTTTGTTTGTTTATGTCTTTAATTGTGTACCCGGCTATAGTTGCCAAAACTACATGTTTTGGGGGTGGGTGCAGGATAGCTAGGACTACCCCCCATGATATACATGTTTGTTGACTCTTGTATATGACCACATATGATTCATATGATATGGTATATGCAGGTTCCAACCAACATGAATAGCTTTTCCATTCTTTTCCCACATCCGCGAACCCAGGATGCATATCTCAAATGCTCGGCACGTGCAAATATTTACCAACCCTTCACCCCCAAAAAACTGAGATCTGGGGGAATCATAACGACCTCATGGACGTCACGTTACGTGATAGTAGCTGTTGGATGCTGTTGGTTTTTGGGGAATCATCACCAAGCCAGGGCAGAGTTACTAACGCTAGCGTTAAGTCGTATCAACTTGTAAAAGTCGTATCGGGAGGCCGTGCCCTTGAACACCAAAACAGCTGGCAAATGGATGTCCACCCCCCAAACCATATATTCATTTGATGTTACCCTCTGGTAAACTAACATAGCTATGGAAAATGGCAATTTATAGTTGATTTACCCATTAAAAATGGTGATTTTCCATAGTTATGGGACAGTTTCATTTGATGTTGCGTATTTGTGTAAGTCATGGTTTCACTGACACCTTCCCATGGTGTTTTGGGGTTTTCCCATGGTGTCCGGTTTCCAGGGCCAACCATCGCTGCGCCAAGCGCCACATAAAACAAAAAGCCCGTGACCCGGCGGCGTGACACAGCCTCGAGAGGATGGTAGATGAGCAATCCTTTCCCCAAAAGTGGTGATTTACTTGGTGGGTTTATAATGGAATACTAGGATTTAACATGAATCAACCATCAATGAATAATTCACAGACGTGGATGATGCTTTTACTTTTCTTTGGGCTCAACAGGGTCTTGGCTTTGACCCGTAGCCATAATTATCATATTGAAATATGTTGAAGACCTGCCAGAAAACCACGGTTGACATGTAACGTATTATTCGTCTTGTGACGAAGAGGACCACCACCACCGCCGGAAAAGCAGCAACACCAGCAAGCCCAATATGGCTGAATCAGTCTGGGTCGGGACTTGGGACCCACACACGAATGGTACAGTGTAGAGCGTTTTGCGAACATGACAAGATATGAGGCTCGTTGTATCTTAGGTTCTGGCCCATCCCTACATCAGCCACGACAGCCTTGACAAAAGCAGTGATTTTTTCATGACTTCATCTATAATTGAATGTGTTTCGAGCGGGCCAAACCCGATCTCGTGATTTTAAGTTGCATTGGTCCCATCCTGGGCGGGACATCTTGGAACCATCGGCCCATGTCCTACCGGTAGATCCAAGCAGCCCAGATATTGCGGTGTACACTTACAACCTGGGCGGTTACGAAGAACCTCGCGGCTTTCAAGTCCCATGCGTCACTCAGAGATGAGCCGCTATGTTTTTGCGGGGCGTTTTTGGGCCATGGTAGTGGGGAAATGTGGGGAAATGATTTCTACCCGGTAATTTAAGATAGATAGCTATGGAAGCCACTGGAGGCGCTAGAGGCTTGCTATTTCTGCAGAGTTTCCACCTGCTCAACCCAGGTGCCGGACACAGATGCTCGGCATGGTGATTGATACAAAATGTTTCTTTTGGCATACAACAAGGACATTTGTTTCAGGATTTCCAGGGAATCCAGGCCGAAAAAACTGGGATGATACCAGTAATGGTGGATCTATCCTTTTTCAGATACGATAAACTTATTCCTTGGTTGGCTATCCATGTTAAGAACGTGCTGGTGACAGTTTTTTGAGTTCCAGATGTTCCAGGCAACGGATTTTGGTCAAAAGGGACAGCAATTTTTGGTGTCCCTGTTGTTATAGAATACACTCCCTGGGTTAGGGGTCAATGGATGTCAATTTGTCAATGGTTTTTGTTTGGATGGGTCGTTTGTTACCTATGAAATTACCAACTGGGGGAATGACTTATATAATATAATAACTATAGGAATATTTGTCATGGTAAATTACCACCCATAGGAAATCACCCATAAATTACCAACGGCGGAAGAACCACCCAGGATGGTTCCAGTTATGACCATCCGGGTACCATCCGGGTGCCGGCGAGGTGGATGCCTTCCTCTTCCTGGACGCGCGCACCAAGCGCAAAGCACCCAAGGCGCCAAACGCTGCTCGCGAGTGAATCGCCCCGTTCAGAATTCATATCTTTAATAGATAGATCTGAATTAGTTAATGGATCTATATTAATTAATTGTATACCAATTCATTACTAGATGTAATTATATTCATTAATCTCAGATCCCAATAGATCCAATAGATATAGAGCTCATTATTTGCATACAATTAATATATCTTAATATATTCATTAGCCCAATGAATCCAATCAATACCAATAACTTGTGTGATAGTCCATTGATACCCCTTTAAGTATCTATTTGTATCCAATTAAATATCTTATTCATGTCCCATTATCCATGTTAGTTATAAATTTTCCATTGGTTACACTCCCATCCCATCAATATGTATTAAACCTTCAAATCCCATTAATCCCATTAATTTGGTCAAATAATCCATTCAAATACCCATGAATATCCATTACACCTTTTTCTATTCCCACTAATCATGGGAATATTCCGCTATTTGATTCATTCATATATCATGACTATCCCATGAAAAGTCTATGATCTCTCCCATGATTTCCATCGCGCTTTGCAGGCGGCCTTGGCGTATTGGAAACGCCAGGGCTGGAAGCTCAAGATTGTTCCTTTGGAGGATGCCACGCCCTACGCGCCCCGGTTGAGGTACCACTGATGTGGCGTTTTTTTTGATGCTTACTTTTGGTGGTGCCCCAGTGAGCTAAATCGCTAAGTTGGTTGATAACTCCAATAACCATGGTTTATGGTAGATATATTGACATACTTACTATGGTTTATAAACCAACTTATAACTGGGGGGGCACAACCTTGTAACCATGTAAAATTGGAGAATTGTGGGACGATTATGGGAGAAGTATGGGACAATATGGGATGATTATGGATGATTGCGGAATTAAACTTGGCATGACAAGGATTTAGTTTTTTGGGGTGGGATAATAGAATGCTAATGGGAATAGTTATGAGATTAATCAATCAACAATAAAGGATTATATCATTATATCGGATTAAGTATGAGGTTAGTTATTGGCAGACATTGACCCAATTCAACTGCAATTATCAAAATTTCATGAGGCAAATCCAATGATAAGCCGGGATAACTATGGGACAATGCTGGTGAATCGACAGAGCGGTAACCCCAATGTCGTTTTCAGGGGGGATTAAGCATGAAAATTTGTACTTAAGAAAATGACGGATGAACGGGATACAGATGAATAAAACAGTAACACAACAAACAAATTAGTGGAGCCTTGCAATTATGTTTGTAGGTGTAGTTAAGTTTCGCTTGGAAAAATGCTGCATGGGTAGGTATGATACTTAATTTCGTAAATCGTAAAGCCAATCTTTAAACCACCATTTTCATCTAGTGAGGTTTGCTTTATCACTATTACATTCCAATCTGTTGGGGTATAATTATCTCATATTATCATCCCATATTATCACTTTATAGATAACTATATATTGGTCTATATATTGGACTATATCTATAATTGATGATGTCATATAGATAATTATCCTCCAATCCTCATATATCTCATTTCCTTTTCTTTATAAAGCCAATCTATTCGGGTAAAAAAACGTGTTAGGCACCACCGAAAAAAGGAAAAGGTTTGCTTAAGCCGAGGTCTCTGGAGATCCTCGGTGTCGCTTTGGTGAGGGATTTTGATCGCTGGAGAAATGGCCGTTACGGCTACCCGACATGGTAAACATTTAAGAAAAACTGATTGGAAAGATCCACCATTTTTCATGGGAAAACTCACTATTTCTATGGCAATGTTCAATAGCTTTTTGTATGTTTACCAGAGGATATTGAGTATTGAATGGAGCCATCAATGTGGTGCTTTACTGTGGTTTGACCTGGTTTGATGTGTGATTATCATGAAATGGTATGAAATGGTCATATCTATATAGTATAGATCAATTTAACATGAAATATATTTCCCCATACGTGAACAGTAAATGACTAGGGCCAGTGGTAAACCAGGGCTTGCTCGGGGGTATCGTATCGCCTTGTTTGATTACGCAATGAGATTGAATGACATCAAAAATTGTAAGTTTCCATGATAGTTCATGATATTCATGATATATTTTAATCATTGTTGATGATAGTTAATGACATTTTGTATTAATTTATCATTATTCATAACAATCCATAGGTGTCATGGACAATGTGAAGGAACGTCCCAAAGGCCCATGGTTGTGCAACGACTCATCTTTAAGGCCCAGATGATTTCCCTCAAAAAACCATGGATCAGCCCATGGTGGTTTAGAACAGGCAGTTGGATTACCAGAAGGCCAGAGGGGAGTAATACTAGTAATGTCAACCCCGGATTAATAAGCCATGGTTTATGACGATTAGGGGGGTATTCCCCCAATAGTCATGATTTGATACTGAAATTACCTTCCCAATTAAACAGCCTAGGGCTTTATAAAACCAGGGTTGACATTATATTATATATATAGTTGTTTCCATCCCAGCATGAGGCCTGATGAACCATGCTGCGACTTAGGAAAGGTTGACTTCGAAGTACCTGAAATTTACTCCTCCTGAGTGGATGGAAAGATACGACTGGCTGGTGGGATATGCAACTTGGCCATCTTGGGCCCAAAAAAATGATCCACCCTCCAGATTTGGGACGGCACATATACGATTTTGCACTGTTTCGCCCATGAAAAAAGTGGAAGTTCCAGCAGGGAGATGTGGAATCTCAGGTGCCGGGGGCACCTGAGATTCCATCGGCTCGTCTTAGGACCATGACATGACCATCAACCTTCAGAAGCTGCCGAGATTCTTGGAAGATCGAGATGACCGGCCGCTGGTCCAGCAGAATTCTGCCGATGCTGTGTGCTGAAAAACTTCTAAAGAAAACTAAAGAACATGGTCAGGCTCTTGCATTTTTGTCCCATGGTGGTTAACATTTCCTTGCTCCATGTTTCATAAGGCCAAGTCGGAGCGTCTTCCCATCTCGAAGAATGACTTTAGAATGGTCACTAAATGATCACCATCAAAGGTGGAAATCTGCAACAAAACAGCCTAGATCTCGCATCCCTGGCAGCATGGCACCACATCTGAAGAGGCCCTTGCTGATGTTAAAGTGGTATTGGCGTGACTGCGAGGACGACGCCTTCAAGTGTGCCTCGTACTCGAAAAAATCTCGTACACTGCTGGCGTCGTCTGGGGTATGCTTCGTTAATGCCTGGGTTATGAGCGATTTCTTTGGGGGAACGCATTGGGTAGTAAGCCGCAAAATGATCTAAAGACGCATGGAGGGAGGGAGAGAGAGGTAGAGAGAGAGAGAGAGAACCAAAGAAAAAAGAGAACCATATTCCCACACACATAAATAGAACAGTGATTATGTGTTATCACTATTCACATTATATTATAATATATATATATATTTAATATATATATATATATGTGTGTGTGTGTATGTATGTTTTTGATTGTTTTTGTGACTGGATGTTTATGTCTTGGCTAAACCAGCTTGTGTTTGTTTTAAGGTCAGGCTGTGTCGGTGCAGTGTGTTTTCCGACCAGTGGACCAGCATCCCAGGCATGATGTGGGAGATGAATGATATGCTGACCAAGAGCACCTTGGATCAACACGGATCAACGTCTGTGGTTCCAGGATGTTCAAATCGTGTAGCCACCAAGGTTTTTTGCGTGGTGAGGCGTTTTTGGCGTTTTTTTCAGTGAGAATGCCCCGTTGTGTAGTCAACAGATGGATACAGATAGCCTATCTCTTGAGTCTATATATCTATATATGTATACACAATTCTATGATATTGCACACGGATATGCATTATTTAATGCTTTACCTGAAATGTGCAAATATGTAAACATATTTATGTATACATATAATTACATATGCAATCGTCATATGTGCAACCAGTGGTAGATTCGTAGCCGCAGGGCCTGAGTATGTGAAATCTTCGCGTCGCAATATCCAACACTGGAAGGACAGTTGGATGCTGGTGCAAAGACCCCAATCTCATAGAAATGTGCAATGTTCAGAAACCTGCTGTAAATTGGGCTTACTAAAATGCATACTAGCAAATGATACCCTCTGGTAATTTAACATAGCTATTGAACATGGCCATTTATAGTGGATTTTCCCCAATAAAATGGTGATTTTCCATAGTTATGTTAGTTTACCAGAGGGTAAATGACATTTTACAAAGCCCCTTGGCTTGGTCGGCAGAGTCAGCGGGGACATCTTCTTGGAGCTGAGCTTTTCTATTTGGAAAGCAGGCCGCCAATGTTTGTCCATAAATGGGGATACCCAGGTCACATGGATCCAGCTTATTTCATGGAAAATCCTATTTAAAATGGATGATTTTTACCAGGGGGTACCCCCCATGGATTGGAAACCTCCAAGCCTAGCAAAAATTAATGCGAAAATCAGGTGAATTTCAAGGGGATTTTTGCCAATGGATTGGCATGGATTGGCTTACAGTAAAATTTCTAGGAACCATCATGAACCATCAGGAACCCCTTTTTTTTCCATGGGAAAAAGCATGGTAAAACCGGCGAAGAAAAACAACCATTCCATCCCAAAACTCGGCTGATGATTTTTGATCCCCGTAAAAATCATGTTGTGTTGGTTAGAGCAAGTTATATATATATATAGTAACCCTAACCCCCTAAGATAGGGTTCAGTCATCTCTAGAATCATGAAAATTTATATATGCCCCATTCTTTTAGGACATGGATTTTGCAACTGATTTTTCTACTGCAATGGCGAAATCCAACGAGTTGATGGGTGGTTGCCACATCCCATTTCCAGGAGCTGATGCGGTCGCTACATGAGGCCAGGGAAGCCTTCATGCCGAAGCTGGGACAAGCGGACAGCGGGACAGCGGGGCTTGCGGCGTGCAAGGCGTGGCCAAAAAAAATTGTGAATTTCAGTATATATATATATATATTATAATTTACACATATATATATATACAGTATATATATATATATATATGTATATATGGGATTTATTTTAATGGATATCGAATGGTAATGTATAGTTATATATTTAGATAATTATGGATTTAATTGTTAGTTATAGAACTATTGAATCAATATCCAATAGCTTAATGGAGAATTCTCCATTATAGCCATATAGATGTTGGATAATTATAGTCTATATGGGATTTAGTAGATACTCGTATCTAAATGGTTCGTCTTTAGCCTTTGGCTAGACTCCTGGAGATGGCGATGGAGAGAGAGAGAGAGAGATCTAATGGTCATGGTTAGTTATGGTTAATGGGGACACGTATCAATAAATGGTGGTAACTATTGATGGGATAAAAAAACATATAACAACAATCTGCCGAGAATCATGAGACAACATTGGATTTAATAGACCTAAAGGATGATACGGGATGAAATATGAGATTAATTGATGGCCAAACATGGGGTACCCTCTGGTGAACTAACATAGCAATGGAAAATGGCTATTTATAGTGGATTTTCCCATCAAAAATGGTGATTTTCCATTGCTATGTTAGTTCACCAGAGGGTATTGCGTTTAGTTATTCCACTTGAATTATAATTATCTGAGCTTGGTGAGGTAAACCGCTGATAACAAAGCAGGATAATTATGGAACAATATAGGACTAGTCTGGACTAGTATATCTTATGGGAATGATAATTAATCACCCAAAGTAATGAGGTAACCCCAGTGCCATATATATATATATCTATCTATCTATATCTATATCTATATATATATGGGTGTTAAGTATGGAAATGTTAGACTTAAAGAAAAATGGTCGATAAATGGGATATGGTATGAGTAAAGCCAGTAGTTAAAACAGTTTGTTTTCCCTGCTTATAATCAATCGGATATAATATACCCGGTGATGTAACATGACCACCAAATGCTTGGTTTAATCTGCTGGGTTTAGCAGATTACATTCTATGACTGGGACAAGCACAGTCATAAGGATAATCATCCACCAAATTCCACGGAGAGGATCAGTTTCTGCCTGCGCTCCAAGGCCGCACTACTACGAGAGTTGCATTATTGAATCTCGGCCTGCAGGTTCTGTTGCATGGCTCGAAAAAGCAGTTGGGTTTTCCGAGATGATCAGCAGATGGCCTGGTTTCGAATGGGGCTCAGCTACTTGGATGTGGCTTCTATATCTTGTATCACGTTTGTATCCATGAAACTGCTGCCAGTGATGCCATTGGTTTGCAAGTTCATAGTCGGCAATAGCAACATTTTGAGAACCTGACTGAGATGTAGTTGAAAGATGTTGAAAGGTCACCAAGTTGTCTGCATGTGAGACTGATATCCCATGATATCCCATTTGGATGGTGATGCAGCATCCTGCCAAAAACCCGGAACCCTAAAAAACGCCAAAGCGCCCGGAAACGAGGCCCGAAACCTGAAGCATGAAAAGGCCGAGACGGTGAGGAATGCCTTCGAGAAGATTTACAACATGCCCGAGAGCTCAGTGGAAATTTCGTGCGGATGGGATTGATGGGCTGGACACCTGGCCCCGGCAGGTCTCATGATATCCAACGTGACCAATTCCTGCTGCCCTACTACTTATGGCTGCTGGGCCCAGGATGCATCATGCAATGCATGATTTGCTTCGAGATAGAGTTGTTCTCATATTTTCTAATTTTCTGGCTATTATGATCTATGATGATCTATGATGATCTATGGACATGGGCAGCATTATGGGCAGCCTTTTCTGGAGCCCAGTTCTGTCGACGTTGCTTTTCCGAGGCGCCACGACTTGAGCTATGAGCTTGAGGCTTTGCATCTCGATGAGATGTCTCTTGGACCTTGCCGAAAGTCCCCAGGGTCCCCAGGGAAGTCGTAAGTCCCAGTGCCGAAAATGACGAGAGTAGAGTAAGAGATTTAGTAGAAACTGTAGATCAAACATGATCAAACTATATTTCTTACCAATATATATATATAATATAATATATACAGTATATATATATGTGTGTGTGTGTGATCGGGGTGCTGGTGGTCCGAGTCCCTTCAAGTTTTCGGAAGTTGGCGGCAAGAGTCCAACATGGGTATCCCATTGAGTGTGTGAACATGTTCATTGCCATATTTTTACCAATCCCCTGGTTGATTGATTACTACATTAGCTATTAAAGTTAGTAGTATAAGGCCATTGACATAGCATAAACAACTAATGCCAACATCGGATTAATCAACCCCCCCCGTATAGGTCAGGGTATACCTTGCAAGGTCTTTCCTGAATAAACGGACCCTGACATGGGGGTTGATTAATAAGGGGCAAACCCTGATTGTTATTAATGGGGGACATGGGCTCATGGGGGGTACCCTTTGGGAGCTATCCAAACTGATGATTTTTACAAAGAATTTAATTAGAAATCGATCATTTGGGGAATAGTAGGTTTTTCAATTTTTCAATGATCAGCAGTGATGGGTTCTGGTGTTCATGTGGTTTCAACTTAAATATAGCACAAGGAAACCATAAGGAAGCCATTCGAAACTTTTGGATAAAAAAATGGATTTCAGCACTGGTGGTTGATTAATCATGTCCCAGCCAAACGGTTTACTAATCCTGGGGGACCACCTGTTTTTAAATTGCAAAAAAAATGGGCAGAGGGGGTTGATTAATACCGCGGGGTTTATTAATCCTAACTTGACATTATTCATAACCAACTATTCAATGTTCATTGCCATTGATTGGTTACTACAGGGTCTTATACTACCACATTTTTACTGGGGATTATAATAAGCCTATAGGAAACCTAGTGTCAGTAACATCTTTGGCCTTTTGATTCGTGGCACGGTCCAAGGCAAGAGCAGTTGGACATGTGTTCAGCGCCTTGGTCGGCAAGTGGAAACTTATTTGGGGACTGGGATGGATATTTGAAGATGAAATATATCACACACACATATTAATATATATATATATGTATATTGTATATAGCATTCACACACATATACATGTATACATATATATGTACATATGTGTGTGTGAAATTGGAATTTTTAGTAGAGTTCAGCCAAGTTTCCGTCCTCGGTAATTCTTTGAGACTTCGTGGTGTTTTAAGGTGCCGACAAAGAGAAAGCGTGCCTTGGACGACGAGCGCCGAGCGCTGCTTTTTGTTATACTAAACTGTCCCATAGCTATGGAAAATAACAATTTAAAATAGGTAAATCAACTATACTACAATAAATGGTCATGGAGAGAATAGCTATGTGAAATTACCAGAGGGTAATTATATTAATTATTAATATATTTTAAATTATTTTAATTTATTGTACTGTTTGGTGGTTTGGAACATGTTTTATATGTTTCCATGTTGGGAATTGGGAATAATAATCCCAACTGACTTATATATATATTTTTTTTTTCAGAGGGGTTGAAACCACCAACCAGTATAGATTATTTGATAGGGATATCCACTGACACAATTTGGACCAACGAGTGGCTTGACTTAAATTCCGGCGTTGTTGATATATAATTAAATATATATATATATACATGGACATGACTAAATGTAGCAATGTAGCCAGTCGATTTTCCCTTCGTTGTTTTCATGCAGGGAAACTGGAGGGAAACCCTGGACGCAGAAACTAATTCTTTGTGGATGGCTGCATTGGAAACCAAACATCGAACGATTGGAGTGGTGGCAACCCCCAATGGCCGACAGTTGCTTCATGTTTTTTTGGTGTCCGGAGGAATTCAACCCTTAAACGCCCAATCAGCTAGCCAGGTTCTGTAAATCAAAGCGACCGAAAATGGCCGGCCACTGGCCTTCATTCTCAGATATTCATGTCCATACTTTTCACTTCAACTGCAGCGCTGCTAAACTGAGGAAATTGAGCGTGTGACCAGTGGTAGCTGCCGCTGGCCAATGTGCTCAGAAAGGTTGAGAACAAAAGTGCTGTGCCGGATGTTCATTTGTTTTTTTCTTGAAACTAGATTATCATCAATAGTAAAGTAAAAGTAGACTAATGAACACGCGCGGACTTCGGCAACGGTTCATGCCACGGCGGTAGCAGTGGCAGTCAAACCAAGCGAGGTTCAGTGCGCACGTGGCACATGGACATGATAAGTGATTGCCAAAGTGTTGCCAGTCTCAGGTGGACGTCCAGGACAATTTGTGTACAAAAGGGTTGCAAACCTTCAGCGTATCCAACACTTGAGCGAGAACTCAGTGAAACCATAGAACTTTGCTGGCTGCGCCGTAGCCATTTTGGCTCAAGTAATTGGATCAAGCCATTTGGTTACGAGGCCCTCTGGGCACGACCGTTGTTGTAGCTATATACTTTGTCCTGCCATGGCATCATCCGAGCAGAAGCTCATCTCGTGTGTGGGATTTGCTAGACTCTAGACGTATGGCAAAAAGGATGCGTTTGGTCGAAGTTGGAAGGCACTTGGATCATGCCCTGGTTCTCCTTGCTGGTGTGGAATCGCGAGCAAGGCCGGTAGTCAGGCAGCCACATCCCATCCAGCTGACTCAGATGATTCCTGGTTCCGCTACCTTGCAGACATCAGAGCAGCAGCTGGCCCAGTTGACCTGTTCTAACCTACTACTGCATGGGCAACGTTTTGAGGGTTTGCAGACACGCTTGGAAAAATACTCGCAAGAGTGCGAGATCATGCTTGAAAAGCCGAAGGCAAACGCAAAGGAACATGCAAAGCAGAGCGACGACATCAAGTGGCTGAAGAAGCGCTTACAACTATTCGAGGAAGGGTCCTCTTCAAAACCAGCCCTACAGATAGAATCCAGTCGATCGGAAAGCCACGGGGCTAATCCGGCTCCCACAGCTATGTTCCTCACCCTCATGGACACGCGCCACTTACGCTGTGTGAATCGATCACAGTATCTTCGGCATGGACCGCCATATGGCTCCACAATTCCAAACATGGTCAATGGATGTAGCAGAGCATGGCCAAAGGATGTAGCATAGGCGCGAGATGTGTAGAGTTGTTGAATTGTCGGCTTCATAGCAGTCTCCTATGATCTCCTTGTGATGTGTGCTTCGGCCTTTGCAAAGCATTGGCGAAGTGTAGGGCAAAACCTCTGGAGGCCCTGGCAAAAAAGGGCACAAAGAAGCTGGTGCACTGATCCACTGAAATGATGGTCAAAACCTTGTAGTGTCAGAATGTGGGCATGGCGCCCGTCATGCCTGAATCCAAACCGCAGAACCACTAACAGATTGAAGACACAAGGACATGACGTAAGCAGGGGAAAATGCTCTCCCGCAAAGTTCCTCAAAGCAGGACCAGCTTGCATACAGGAAGGGCCAGGCCCCGGCTCTCGTGACGTATTCAACTCCAAACTTGTTTGGCATAAATAGCATTCCAGGTGAAGGTCCAGTCTAGTGGCTGTACTGTACCAGCTGTACGGAGTTTGAACAAGCTGTTCCGAGGGATTTGTGTTCTACAAAGGCCAGCGCAGGAACAGACTCAAGCAGCAAGCATTGCATAACGTTGCGGACATAAAAGGTGAAAGTGCTCTGAGCACAACTTGTCATTGTATGATGCAGCTGCTGCGTCCAAACGGAAACGCTAACGCCATCCGGATGGCAGAAGGCATCAAAGAAGTTCACGCCGTGATTGAACCGACCCTCAACCATCTGCTGAGCAGCTCTACCACTGCTAGGAGTTGAGCCGAGAGCTGGACGTTTTACACAAAAACGGACATGACAGTATTCCAATGTATTCCACCCCTTTCTCAACTTGCCAAGCTAAAACTTGTTGCCATGAGCCACCGTCCAAGTCAACTGGATTCCCGGGGAAGGCCTGGGCCCCTGGGATCCCCTTGGCCATGGCCCCAAGTCGTCCCAAGTCCCCTTGGGATTCTCCATCCAGCTTCGTGGATGTTAATGCCAAGTGACTGGGATTATCTCATGATAACAACAATTACTGTAGATGATATGTAATGATTAGCATTAATATCAAGTATGAGATTATCTCATTAATATAATATCATCTAGTTTAATGACAACACACATGATGCAAAGTCAACCTCATGATATCAACACAACTGCACTGCTGGGCCCGAACTCTGCTACTCGCATCGAAAATGACCGAAAGTTGAACCCGGTCTACGCGCCTCCGGACCGGAGCGCTTTGTGTCAACAGTTCTGACAGATTTGATGGGTTGGTAATCCCTTCCTCCATATTAAGCAATGGTTAAGTCACAATTTTTGTTGGATAAACTCCCATTCTCCCATGAATATCCCATTCAAGGTCCAGCATGTCCAGTTTGATGTTTTTTTGTTGCTTAAATTCCCTTCCTCCATATGAAACAACCCCCGCCATCAAGCATGGCGCTTCGGTGCTTCGGGCTCGCAGCGGAGCCAAGCCGGGCGCCAGCTGGGCGCGGGGGCAGCCATGGGTGCCTTGATCTTGATCCGAACTGGGGAATCTGTGGTTAAAACTATGCCATTTTAACCATACCACCTATAAGAATGGTGATGACTGGGGGCTGGTTTATGGCATTGTTAAAAAACACACACATTAGAAACTTAGAGATGTTAAAATGCAAACTTTTAGGGTTGAACATAGTGATATGGAAAAAATGTGGGTGATCATCTCGAAAATGCCTGGGATCATCATTTTGAAAATGTACCCGGCTTTAGCACCTACCGGCTGACCCTCGATCCTCTCTAAGGTAAGTTTCTGAAAGCCGGTCGAATCGTGGTGATGCTACAGGCTGAAAACTGGGAATATCTCAGGGCCACGGGATAGATATGGGGGTTTCTGAAGCTGGTTTATCCCCAGTCGTCACCATGGGTTTCAATACTAAGTCATGGTCATGTTCTAATTTTTGGATGATTTTGGGGGGTACCCCCATGACTTTGGAAACCTCCATTCCATAATTCTGATGGTAAATAGTTTCTACATGTGTCTGTGTGTGTGTGCATGTTTGTCATGTAATTTGACTTGCCAGCCGCCAACTATTGCTATACCTGTTGGCAATCTCATGCTCTATCGCATCTATCATTTATGGATCATAGATGTCAACAGTGGTGACTTCTATGGGTTTTTTCCAGCAACAGGATCGCATGACAGTCTCCAGCAACCTCATGTGGGGCAGTTGCTGTGGAGGCATCTCCAAGTTAACACCCGAGATCGGGAAAATAACTTGCCATGGAACACCCCAAGAATGGGCTGGACAGATGAGTTTTGTTTGTTGACAGAAGTTTTGTACTAGTTGTTGTTAATTAGTCTAAATCTAGTGGTTTTTTCTCTTCGTTATTAGGCGGCACGCAACTTAATTCACCAACTCTGCACGGCAGCGCTAGCAAACCCGCTAGGTTTGCGCTAGTGATTTTTAACATCCATGTTCAAAGTTTTTTGTATGTGTTGCCGGCTGCTTGGTATTTCAGCATGAAGAAAAAATAAGATATAAGACTTAGCGCCTTAAACCTAAGGATGTCTTAGTGAATTCTGTACTACTCAACCATTTTCCTATCTTTTTAAGTTTGTCGTTCAATTTTGCGAATTTATACGTAATTTTACCCTGTAGATCCCCGCTAGCAATGCGCTAGCAAAAGTTGCAAAAAGCGGCTTTGGCTGACCCGTGACCCAGTCGCCGTCAGAGAAGAGAACTTGAGTTTATCCTTTCTGTTTGAGAAAAGCAACAGTGCCAGCAAAGGCAACGACAAGCCTTGCAGCAGATGAACAATTCTTGAATTTCCACGACTAATAATGAGCAGCGGCACCCACTCCATATAGATGTGCGTTAGCATTTCCTGCAGGTTTTAGCTTCGGTTTCAAGCATAAAAGGTAAAATGCAGGGTTTCAGACTAATTATTTAGATAAGTCATATTTTCCAAATTCAAATAAGAAGCGGCACGCATGGAATTACGATTTATCAACCAAGCCAGACAAAAACATTTTAACAAAGCGTCAAATGCATACATGGTAAGTTTACAAGTTTGTCACTTGAAAAATGGAACTTATGAGATAGATAGGTACTGGTAGATAGATGCATAGATAGATAGGTATAGGTAATGGATCTGATATACATATAGAGGGAGAGAGAGAGATATATATATATATGCATATATGTATATATATATATATACGTATGTATATATGTATATATGTATATATGTATATATGTATATATGTATATATGTATATATGTACATATGTATAAATGTAAATATGTATATATGTATATATGTATATATGTATATATGTATATATGTAAATATATGTATAAATGTATATATGTATGTGTGTATATGTGTATATGTATATATGTATATATGTATATATTTATATATGTATATATGTATATATGTATATATGTATATATGTATATATGTATATATGTATATATGTATATATATATGTCATTATGTCATTATGCCATTATCTCATATATGTATATATGTATATATATATATATATATGTATATATATTTATACATATATATATATATATACATAGAGATCATGATTTGGCCATAGAAATTATTTTGGCACGTGTTGCTCTCGGCAGGGTCGCTACGCCGGCAAGAAGGCCCTTTTTTTCGGATCATGCTGGCCATGCCAGCAGGAACCAACCACCCCATGAATCCTCGCGGCTGGGTGTAATGTTTCATTGGGGGTGCATCGAAAAAAACCTAACTGGGGCATGCGCTGCACCCAAGGAATTAGGTGCTTCAAGAATCTGGAAAGCAACCCATATTTTGGAAGGTCACATCCTCCACGAACAGCTGGTACGTGGTCACACTGGTGGGTTTTTGATCCAACTTGTACCAGTGCTTTGATGGTTGAACCAGGTCCAATCAACGTTTTTCACTGGTGAATTCCGGATTTCTGATGTTTAAAACACAATATCTCCACATTTTCGAGGTTATATTTTTACAACTATTCGATCCGGGTCATGAAAAAATGTTGCAAAATTCCCTCAAAAGTCATGCGCCACCTACCTAGTAAACTAACGTAGCTAATCCGTTCCCCCTAGTACTAAACCCCCCCAAATAATAAACACCTCAGGTAGTTTTTATTATTAGGGTGTATTTAGCATTAGGGTGCGAAGCTTCCCCCCAATACTAAATTAGAAACCCTAATATAAAAAACAAACAAAATCTATTTCAAAATCGATTATGTAGACGTCCTTTTAAACGACAATCTATATAATTAAAATATTGCCAAAAAATTGATTTTCGAAGTTTCCCCCTAATACTAAATTAAACACCCGAATGTAAACAACTATTTTTTTATATTTCAAAATCAATTAGATTTCCTTTAAAAAAACTAATTTATGTTGCCAAAAGTTGGATTTCGAAGCTTCCCCCTAATACTCAGTTAAAAACCTTAATATAAAATGCTTTCTTTTTTTTCGATCTTAAAAGACGGATCCTAATAAGAAACACCCCGGGTTGACTAGTTTTATTAGCTATTTTCACGCTTTCTTCTGGTCTTTCGACATGTGGCTCGAGTGATACAAAAAAAAATGGAAAAGATAGCCGCGTATGATTTGCAAAAAAAAACACAATTTTTGCTTGTTTGCCTTCCTTTTGAAAATGGCTCCAAGACACACGCGCAGATCCGTTGTTTCAAAATTTGAAACATGGATTTGCTGGCGGATTGAGTCAAACATGTGTTGATTCCAGCGTCTTTCATCTGCAGAACATGTGGCATTTAGGCAACTTTGAAGGCCGCAACTGTAAGTCATGTATGAGCAACACAGTAAGGAGTCGTGTGTGTTTGGGACGTTTTTTCTTCTCAGATCTTTAACTGCAGCTCAGCTTTGTCTCAGAACATTGGAGTTCAGAGCTTCTCTTGTCACCTGGCAACATTAAAAAAAAACATATGGGATCTGTGGATTTTTTTTCACCCAAAACGGGCTTTACACTGATTTACACAACAGTCCTGTTTCAAATTGAAGTGAACTAGAACACATGAACATATCGCGACACACACAGCACGAAGCACGCACGTCTTTTGCAATGCAGATGCCTATGTTGCCACTGCTGTTTGCAATGACTTCGCAAGTTGTGTGGCTGTCTTCGTTTGGAGATGGCAAAAGAGATGTTTCAGGCTCAGGCCACAGGGTGCAACACAAATGGATCAATGAAGAGGCCATTGGTGATCCATATGTAAAATCCAGTTTACAAGCTTATGAACAAAGCAATGATTTGGAAGAAGGTGCCGTCCTGAGTCGCTTTGTTTCAGGAAATGAGGTGGTAGGCTTGGTTTGGCTGGAACCTCTAGCTGAGCACCATGCCCTCCTACCCCTATCGTTAGAGATGCAGGCACAGTTCAACACATGGAACAATTTGGGTGATGGTGGCGCATTGCACGGAGATTTGTTTTATTTCAATGTGTTGAAGGCACAGCCACTTCTGCATCGACTTTCTTTGAAGGATGCAGAGACCAAGTCAGGGCGGTCAACATGTTTTTTTCATATGAACGATGTTTGGGCACAGCGTTTTTTTGCCACAAATGTTCTTGGGGTTGATGAAGCTACCTTGAACGTTTGGCGTGATCTCAGTGGAGGAAAACTTCCAACCCTGGCGCTCAAAGTGCCCAAGCCAATTGCTTTTCTCATTGCCAATGGCTGTTGGACCAAGCTAGCTCTCCCAGGGCAGTTGAGCAACATGGATTTGAAAGCAGGTTGGCATGTGAAACACATTTTGAAGGCCGACAGATCCAACGATCTGGCGAAACTACGGGATTCCTTTTTGTTTCTCCCTTCGCATGAGTTAGCCACAGCTTCCAACAATGCACAGGAGGACTTTTTCAACATATCTTCCGTGAAAGGTAAAGAACGCATGCTTGAATTCCTCCAATCAGTTCATTCAATGTTGTTCCAGGATGCCCGGCCTCCGGCCCCAGAAGCCAGGAGGAATTTGCAACTTCAGTTGATGACTGCCGCCAAAGCTTTGCAGGTTGACCAGTTCCAAGTGCTCGATTTCAGACGGCAGCACGATGTCATTTTAACTAAACGCCGCAAGTATCCCGCGATCAGGTTGCTGCACTTTTTTTGGGTGGCCGGCTCATGGCACCATGACCAGGAATTGAGAGACATGCTCAGACATGTGTGCCTTGTAGCGTTGCCACCAGAAATAGGAGTTGAGGCAATTTCCTTTATAGATGGAAATGATGGGGGCACGTTGAGACTGCCAAGTGCAGCAACTGTGTCAAGGGTGAGGGCTAGGTTGGACGTGGCTTGGACACTTCTAATGAGATGTTGGGTCATGGAAAGACTACGCCAGGGCGGGGGTCGTGGACTCAGAGTGTTTGCTCAAACTGATGCAACTTGGCAGGCTAAGCAAGAGTACCAAGTGACGGTGCTTAATTTTGTGGATGCAGCGGACCTGAAGCTCTTGCACCAGGATTGCTTTTTGCTTGGGGCTTTGGGACATGTATGTTTTCATGGGTTGTCATGGGCATCCAAGGAATGAATTTCGATAATTTTTGCCAGCTTCGTGCAGCGTGCAAGATTTGGGGTAATTTATACAGGTGGCATTTTTCTTCAAGTGTTTCGTGTTTGATTTCCAGTCAATCCCCCAATCACCTCTGAAACAGGGTCTTAAAAATGCGTTTGGGGCATTGAAATTTGGCAGCAGCTTCATGTCAGCTTTGGCTCGAGCCTGCAACAGTGGCTACAACATGCCATCCGTTTCAAAGGACAGAGATTCTCCGAGAAGAGCTGAGGAGAGGGGCAAAAGGAAAGTCTCTTTGAGCAGTGGGTCCTCTGAGCGTGAGGATGCTGCGGCGCCTCAGCTTGCCAGCAACAAGCCGCGGCTTGATACTGGTAAGGTTGTTTCCCGCTCCCCAGGTCGAGATGACGACTCTTACACCTATGATACAACTCCAGAACAGGAGAAGAATGAGAAGAAGGAGAAAAAGGAGAAAGAGTCTCGGAGGGAGGCTAGGGCGCCAAATGCAAAGGATGTGAGAGATAGAGATCGACGTTCGAAGGTCCCTTCCAAGAACGTGCAGGATCCCAAGGATTCAAAGCACTCCAACAAAGATGATGAAGAGGGCATGAACTGCCCCATATGCAACAAATGGTTGAAAAACCGATATGAGGCATGGAAGTCACACCAGAAGACCAGTGTCCGTTGTGCAACTCGGAGGGGTGAGACTGACACAAGGAAGGAATGCAAAAAATGTGGGAAATGGGTAGCGAACAACCATTTCAGTTGGATGCAGCACAAGCCTTCTTGCAAGGCGGATCGGCTAGTGCTCCGTGACAATCGTGACCGTCAGGACCATCATGACAATCGCGACCATCATGGCAATGGTGGGCGCTTTGAAGATCGTGATGACCGTGACCGCCACAGCGGACGGAGGAGAGAAGATGACCAAGTCAGCTTGAGAGGCAATCAAGATCAGCGGCAAGACCGTGGTTGGAAACAACAATCTCAGAGGTCTCGGTCTCCGCCCAGCACCCGACATGGACACCTGCCACCTCCTGAGCCTGCACAGCCACCATCTCATGCAATGGTGTCGATGCACTGGCACCAACGGATGCACCAAGGAGCAGTGCCAGCACCAGCAGCAAGCTGGCAGAACTGGCAGATGCAGCAGGACCAGCAGTACCATTGGCCTTCCTCCGAACCCAGCTCGGGCAGCCGCGGTGTGGTTCAACCGCTCACTGCCTTGCTTATGTGTATCACCGGCCTTCTCCAGCACCAGAGGTGACTTCCTGCCCTGAGAGTTGAGGCTTTTGTCCGATGTACAGAACACAAGTGGATGCTCTTGGCTTCAAGCCTGATTAATTCAACGCTGAGTATAGGTGACTTTTGCGATCGGTGCTTGCAAAAAAATTGGCTGAGCTTGGACGCCGAAACATTCAGCTTTTGAGAGTTACATGTTTTGTTGCAGATTTGCCGGTTTGGAAGACAGTCCCCACGAAGTCACCAGCTCAAAAAAAATAACAAGAGGGCATGCAATTTTTATGGACTTCCTGGGGTCAGTAATGATTATTAGAGTCATGGACAAAGCTAAGGATTGTATTGAGTAGTATTGTCCTCAAAGATGATGCTCATGAGAGATTTCGTTGGTGCATTGCAAAGCATTTTCATGTTTTACGGAAGCGGAGTTTCTTCTTCATCTTCTTCAGCCTATAGGTTGTGTTTTTTGGCCACGTTCCTGCTGCAGGAAATCCTTGAGCTGGACAACTATATGTCCCAAGATTGGGAGGAGAGGCTGCAAACTGGATGTTTTGAAGCTGATCAGGCGTGCATGAAGAGAATTGCAGACCGTATTGTTTGGCATGTTGCCCCCATCATCATGCTGGCTCATTCACGCACAAATCTCCCGGCAAAAACAAGGGTCTTTTTGCACACGCTTGCTCTCCTTTGCTCTTCACGCAGTGCGTTGTGTGAACTCTGTGACTCTGTTGTAAGTCTGCACACCGACTATGGGACTGAAAAGGGGATCAGCCGGATTTCAGACTGCACGCTGGACCTTTTTTTACCATACATGCATGCTGGAGAAGAGGAAACTGGGAAGGGAGATTCTGAGATGTTTGCTGAGGAGTTTCCCGCCCATGACGTTGACGATGCTTTTGTTGATGTGGAGTTGTGCCAGGATGTTGATGAGGGCGTGGTATCTTTTGATTCATGCTTTGAAGGGCCCGACATGATGCATATCATTCATAATGCCACCAACTATTTGGAAGATGTTGTGGACTGCTATGCCCCAACAATAGCAGCCCTCAAGTCCATTTGTTCACTTTTGGCTGGCCGGGAGAGCAAGCAACAATTGATCGAAACATGTTTCCAGGCAGGGCCTTCCATCGCATTTGCTGAAGAAATCAAATCTTTCAACATCACTGTTCATGAAAAGCGATGGAACACGATAGCTAGTGCCATAGAAGAGATCAACAACTTGGAGCCAGCGTTGAGAAATCACTGGAATTTGGCACTATTTATTGGGAAGGGGGATGCTGCTACTGCAGGGGGTGAAGGGGAGGCTCCAGTTCACAGGCCAGGTGGAGACTCTGAGGAGTTCGGGGTCAACTTGAAGGCTGTAGATGATGCTTTGTGTTCTGATGTCTTTTGGGGTTCAATCAAAGTGTTGCTGCAAGTGGCAGTTGTCCAACGCCAAGCTGTTCGCTTTGTGAATGGCTGCCCGTGCCATGATGGGTTGCTTCAAGCCACAGACAGCGCAGATGTAAAGGCAATGTGTGAAAGCTGCCCCCTTCGGGGACGGCGGTGTGCTGAGCTTGCTGCGGGAATTTTTTTTGACTTGTTGGAATCCCTGTTCCGAAGCAGCGCAACAGCTTTGGAGCTCAAGTTGCCCAGGGGCTTGGCAAAAGACCAAGTCTTGCAGTTGATGAAAGACTTTGAAATGTGCAGGCGGCATTTGATTTCCACATATGTTTTGAAACTGAGCTTTTGGGCTCAACCTCCACATGCATTGGCCGGTCTTGCCCATTGGGACCCAAGGGTTCGCAGTGAGTGTTTACGTAAGTGCATGGAGTCAAATTCTGACCATCCAAAAATACAAACGGTGAAGCAGAACATGGACGCTGTTCATGAGTTTTTGGAAGCAGGAGGCGTGTGGCTGGACACTTGGGTACTAGAGCCTCTGAAGATGCTTGCTGGTGAAATGCGGTTGATGTTTACATCAGCGTGGAGGGTGGAAGGGCAGCATGCCCGCACAAAGAGAGCTTCTCAGCGTGCGCCCCACCATAGTGCTGCTTACACAAGTTTGTCCCATCGATTGCCTGAGATCAGAGCGCACCTTCGTGCTCATCCAGAGTCCGCTACCCAGATAGCCGATCTCATGGATGGTGTACCGAATGGTCGTGCTGCTGCTCAGAAGTTGGGGTTTTCAAAGGACTTGCTTGGAAAGTGTGGGTGGATCAGCCCGAAGACATTCCAAAAGAAAAGCGTGGGTTTCGGGGTTATTTACCATGATGATCCTTTTTGCAAATATTCGTTAGAAGTACCGAGACATGTCCAGAAAAAGGTGGTGAAGGCAAGGGAGATTGTGGTAGAACCTTTACCTTTGGAAGATGATTTGCAGCAGGGCAGTGTGGACTTGCGCCGATCCCTAGCTTTGCAAGATATCCGCAAAGCAGTTTCTGCCAAGATGTTTTTCAGCATGAAGTTCAACAAAGCCATGGTCCGATCGTTGCAGTCTCTGCTAGCTCCTGTTGCTTCCTCAGCCCATAGAGGTGGATCACTAGAGTGGGAACCTGCGTCTGGCTCTGAAGCCTTGGTGATATCGGAGAGAATAAACGATTTAGGTTTGCTGGCTTCCTTGGCAGACTTGTTGGATGGTGCCGGTGACGCCTTAGCACGTGAGTTTGTGATGGCTTCTGCTTTGCACTTAAATCCCAGCCGCTTTCGCAGGACTCATGTGGAGGGAGAGGCAGCTATGACAGGAATGTGGTTGGTCCAGCTGCACAGCATTCTGGGCATAGATCCTAAAAAGAAGGAGATCACTGTTTCGATTGCAGCTGCAGATCTGGGAGGTGATGACTGTGCAAGTTCACCGCTTGCACTGCATGTCAACCAGCTCAGTTTGTCTGAGCTTCTGCGCATGCATCAGTGGGTGGCCAAGGATGATGCAATTCTTCACCGGTTTGACAACCAGTTCATGTCAACCCTGCCACAGAACAAGCGTTGGGCTGTCTTGGAAGCTGTGCGCTTCTTGATGAAATATCCTGATGGCTTAGCTGTCACTCTTGATATGAAAAAAGATGTGGTTGATGCGTTAGGTGACTTGTCTGAAGCAGGGCTTGTTGCTGGGCCACCTTGGCGGCTGACTGATTTAGCCCATCAGCGACTCAAGCAGTGCGTCATCTTGCATTCAGGAAAGCCACTTCTGGGAAGACATCATGGCCCAATGCACGAAGCATCTACTTTCCAGTTAGTCTTGGAATTGGATTCTCATGGCATGTCACACGAAGTGGTGACGGCGAAGAAGCACAAGCAACTCAAGAGGGAAAAGTTCAAGCACGTGGGCGAGGACATCCGGTCAGGCAAAAAGGATGCCAAAACTTGGTACACACATGAGGGTCGCTGCACTGTGAGCCACTTCTATTTGCTCGGTTTGGTTGAGATGTGTGTTCATGACGGCTCTCCAGGCCGGATCCAAGAGATGCTTTATGGACAGTCTGACGACTACTACAAAAAGGTTTTGGGGCTCCAAGATGGTGAGGTCCAAACGAAACGGCCTAGACAGCAAAGATTGAAGTTTGGCCATCTTTCAGATGAGGTGTGGCCCAGCGAAAAACCAGAAAAACCAAAACGAAAGAGCGAAGGCAGGAAACCCACCACCACCAAGAAAGCAAAGTTAGATACTGGCCCAGTTGTTTCAGGGCATGATGATGCTGAGGCTGGGGGTAGTGACATGGAAATCGATGCTGTGCTTTCCGGGGTTGGTTCTCTTGCTTCGTCCAGTGATGCAGCCGGCTCTGGGAGTGACGCTGAGGGCTGCCCAGAAACACGGCCCGGCTCGGTGGCAGTGGCAGAGCCTGTCGCTTCTCAGGCTGAACCTCCTCTTCCTCCTCCATCTGAACCACCACCACCCTCTGAGGTGGCTGGTTCGGACAAGTCAAATGATGAGGGTTCGGGTGGCTCTGACTCTGAGTCAAGTTCAAATTCGGATTCAAGTTCGACCTCTAGCAACTCGAGCTCAAGCTCGAGCTCAAGTCAGCCAGGGCCAGCTGGATCAGCAGTGCCAAAGGCGGCTGTGAAAGCAAAGGCGAAGCCAGCTCCAAAGGTGAAAGGGCCCAAAGTGACAGACCGATCTTTTTATTGGGGTGATCACCTGATCACGCCTGTGGGTCCTCCAGGTGAAGATCCAAAGAATTATCAGATTCGATGTGCCAAGGCTTCTCACAATGTGGAACGGGCATGCACCAAGAAGCGTGCTGTGACATTTGGTGGTGCTGACACTGTCCTCCTGTGTTTGAAGTATTGGGCAAGTTTGGGATGCAATTGTGACAATGCTACTGATCACTGGGCCATGTGGGACTCTGACGTGATTCCTGCGTGGAGATCTGGAACCCTTCCTGCTGAAGCTGATTTGAATAGCGCAGCTTCCTGATTCGTGCTAGCTGCTTTCATTGGTTCATGTGCAACTGCAAAGCTTTTGTTGTTTCCACGGCAGTATGCCTCTACATGTTTTGAAACTTTTGGAGTTGCCATCCATATGGCAAAAACATAGCCAGGACATGAAATTTGTCTCTAAATCACAGCTGGTTTTCGTGCGCTAGGCTTCTGCCGTGGGAACTTAGGGCTTCTGGAGCAAAAACTGTCTGCGCAAGGAAAAGCTCTGCGCAAGTCCAATTTTCAAGCAATTCTTCTAGCAATCCATTTTGGTAGCATTTTGCTCCTTTTTGGAGATCCTTCGCCAGGGATGGATTCTGTAGACTACTTTAAAGGGAAAGGGTTGGTTTTTGATAAAAAATTGCAAAATTGACTGATTTGAACCCTTTCAATTTCGTGCGCTTTCGTGCGCCTTCGTGCGCTTTCGTGCGCTGATTCTGGGCTCCATCGCGTGCGAAAAAATTAGAGGTTTTTCCTATGTTCAATCTTCGAATTTAGCGTTGGGTTGCTCACAAACGCTTGAATGTTTTGTTGTGTGCATAGCCTTTTGCATGGTTTTTGCTAAGTTCTATTCGAGCCTGTGACGGGCCAAATTTCGTGCATTTCGTGCGGTTTCGTGCGTGGTTGTTTTAGTGCGCTTTTGAGATCTGTAGTGGCAAGCTTGGCAAAGAATTGCTTGTTTCAGCCACAAGCAGGCGCAGGTTTCTTGCCCTTGAAGTTTTCAATGTTTGGCTGCGCTGATTTGTGGTTCCAGGCAAAATTAGCTTAAAAAGGCCATTTGTGTTCAGAGGAACAGGTTGCTTAAACATTTGTTTGCCAGTGAGGGAAAGCGTTTCAAGCTTAGGTTAACTGTGCTAGGAATTGGGTTTATGCCACCTTTCCATCATGTTATGGAAAAAACAGGATTTGAGAGTTTGAAGTTCCATACTTACTCATTCCTACAAGTCTCTCATTCTCAGAGTCAGACGTTTCTCACTTCTCACCCATGTGGCCATGGCGGGGCGACAGAGCCGGACATACAATCCAGACGAAGATTGGTTCACGGACCCTCTGAATCCAGATAGTGAGACAAATGCCAAAAGAAAGAGATGGAAGAAAGGATCGGTTTTGGATGTTCTGGCAAAGATGCGGCTGCCACAAGGGCCACAATCTGTCAAGGAATTATTCAACTACCCTGAGCAACTAGTTCAGGCCGCGTTCTCGAAGCCTGAATGGCAGGATCGGTGTGTTGATTTGCTCCGCTGGGGCGTTGTGGAGCACAGCGACTATTCAGGGATCTTTGCAGAAAGGGAAGCCAAGCGCTTGCTTTTCATGGCTCTGGGCCAATGCAAGGGAATCCATGTGCCGCACATGGTGAGAAAGACATGTGACATAGATCCAAGTTCACAACGCGTGCTACTTCACATGTCTGAGGTACTTGATGCTGGCGAATCTTGTGTTTTCGCTGATATCAGGGCCCAGCTTCACCCTGAAGCACAGGAATGGTGCTTAGCTGCCAGTCCCAAGCCTGAGGATTCCATCAAGGCTAAGGAGGACGCATACCAAGCAATGGCAGACTTTCTGCTGGAGAATGGGCATTGGGCAGTTGACCAGGACTGCTGCCTAGGGCTTGATGTTTTTGCGTGGTCCCAGTCCATGCTTCACAAGGTTGAGATTTGGAGTTGTACAGGTTTTTCGGTTTCCCAAATCACATACATTATACATTACATCACGTGACACTTGGAAAGGTTTTCGGGAATTTCAAATTACAAACTATTTCACTCAAAGAGATTGCACCTTGTCCCGATTTGAGTTGAAACATTTGAGAACCCAAACTTTCATGTCAAACTGTGGTCCCCATAACTCCAGCATTTCCTGTGCTCAGAACTTTTCCCAGGGGGACAGTTGAGAGTTTGTGGGCTGCCCTCATCTGATGCAGGAGCATGCAGATTTTTGCTTGAAGCACGGCACCAACTGTGTTGTCAACAGACCTCGGACGGATCTCAACCTGTGCAACCGCCCCCAAGGCATTTTCAGCGGGTCGCTGATCGTTGGTAATGCTGGCAACTGCTGCCAGGGATGGAGCTCAGAGGGAAAGAGGGCAAGGAAAGCGCACAGCAGTCAGCATGCTTGGAATTCTTGGCTGGCTCAACGCCGTGAGTTGGCACTGAGATCGGAAGAAGACATGTTCTTCCAGGAATGCACAGAACTTTGGGATGTGGAAGGCTGTTTGGTGAAACCCTTGGAAGATTCCCATACGGTAGTTCATACAACCGTTGGGCCTTCCACCTTGGGATGGCCAACTTCTCGTAACCGTCTCTTGTCAGCTGGCTTATCTTCCAACAGTCTTGTATGGCTTGGGCCCACAGGGGCCGATGCTGTGAAGCAAGACTTCGAGGCTGTGTTTGCAAGGTCCTGCATGCTCACTGGTAGTGTTTTCTTCCAGGAGGATACGCAGAGCGGGCTGAATGGTATGAACGCAAGCTGAAGCAGAAATGTTTCTTTGGTTCAAAATTGCCAGAGGGTGAGAAGCTGATGAGGAAGATTCTTACCCCAGGCCAGCTTCAACGCTTAGAAGCCTATGGCAAGCTCAGGGCAGAACACCAAGCTTTGGGGGACATTCATTTGCGATCTTGACCATTGGCCAAACAGCCCAGGGCCAGATTTTGGACCAATGTTTCCAGTGCTTTTGAGGCATGGAACCATCCTTGACATGAACACCGGGAAGTTTGCGATGAACCTGGACCGTTTTCTCGCTTTGGGGTTTCAAATGAGCAAGACATTGAACCACAGGTTTGAATGGCCTTTAGCCAGGTATGTCTTGTCGGCGTCTGACAGGGAGTTGCAAGGGTTGACTGGAAATTGCCAATCAGTCCCGGCAATCTTGGCTTGGCAGCTTTATGTCTTTTGCAATACAGCCCGGTTGGAGCCCAGGTATGTGACTAGGCAGCCGTCTCCATCAGAATCGCAGGATGGAGATGAAGAAGAGGGCTCTGCTTGACGGGATGTTTAATTCTGCGGTTCGCGCAGTTGCTTAGCTAGATGTTTTTGCCCAGTACCAATGCTGGGATGGAAAAAAGTTAGAGGCTAGAGGGATCGATTTTGTGGCTGGTTGACATCAAATATCTTGTGTCCACGTTCTTAAGGGATCATGTTTCTGTAGATTTGCAATGCTTTGTGTGTGATGATTATGATGATGACTTTGCATGACAATTTATAGTCACGTTGTGTTGCAACCTTCCCTTGAATATGTCAAACAGTTTGAGTCAAACACTTCCATCCTTGTCATATTATGTTATGATATCATTGACATCGGCGGTTTGCCAAAAGATGGATGGACGTGATTCCGCAATTTTGCTGCTCAGCCTTTCTGAGACTCCTCGGCGTGATTTACTTTTCCGGTGGAGCCATTCTTGTGATTTCGAAACAGATTGATGTTTCCCAGCGGGGTGAGCGCGTGCCAGCTGTGCCAGATGCAGCTCCCTCCGTGCCCTGGAAGAATCAAGACATGTTTAAAAGCCAGACTTGGAAACTGAAGACTGAACATCTTGAGTCCTCTATCTTTTCCTTCCTTAAAATCTTGTATAGCTTGGGTAATTGAAGATCATTCAAGTTTCAGTTTTGACTTGTGAGACGTTTCTTTGTGGAAATTCCCATGCCGTGTGCTGAAACCCTGAGGCAGGCCAGGCGGATCCTCCATCAGCACAGTCTGAGGATCCAAGCAACAAGAGCAAGAACAAGAAGGATCCATCAGCTGAACGTTTTGTCCCCAGGTATGGAAATCTTCTCCGCATGTATTACCCCCTGCTTGACATGTTGGACAAAGCTGCTTTGCCTGATTTCGCCCCAACCGGGCAGCATAGCTACAAAGTGATCGTCCCACAGACCGAAGGGACCGTGTCAGTGAGGGTTGATCTCAGGGGTGTCATGCTCACTGAGCACCCCAACCGGCAAAAGACTTTCCGTTTCAAGGGAGTGGATGACATTTGTCACTGTTGGGCACAGGCGTGCAACCATGGCGTTGATCTGTATTGGTTGGCGCCTCCGCCACCTCGCCGTGCTGCTGCGAAGGCTTTGCCAGGCCCAGCTGCTGCTGATGCTGGCGATCAAGAGGAAGAGGAAGTGGGGGATGTGGACCCAGCTGTGGCCCCAGCTGGAGGTCCCCGCTTGTACGATGGTTTGCCCCCTGCGCCTGGTCCGGGATACCGCAGGGTGGAACCAGGGGATTCAAGTTCATCTTCCTCGGAGTCTGACGGCGATGGTGGTAGTTCTGCTACTACTCGCGTCTGTGATGATGATGATGATTTCGATTTTATGCAGTGGTTGTGTGATGGGTCTGAAGAGGAAAATGAGGAGCCAGTCCCAGAGCAGGACAAAAAGAAGCTTCGTAGGTGTGGGCCGATTGTAGACTTTGAGTAAGGCAAAAACGCTGTGAGTAGGAGAGTCCCTTGGATTGGGGGAAATCCGTTGGACCCATATGCGTTGCAGCGTGGGGGCAGCTTGCAGTTTCTATTTAGATTTTGTTTGGCACCCATGAGGTTGGGACCATCCAACTGTGACTCTTTGGTTGTGTCCAGTCCAGCAATCATTGTGCTGGAGACTTTGAAGGCTTCAGTTTGGGTTTGAAAGGCAGCTGCGACCTGTACGCGACTAGCTATCAGACAGTTGCAAGTGAGGAAAAAAGAGGCGTGGTTTCCCAGCAGGATTCGGATTTCAGATTTCTTCATGTGAACCTTGAACTGCTTTTGGACATTGGATAGGCATGCATTATAAAAACAAGATTAAGTTGTTGCAGCATTGTTGCAGTTTGCAGTTGCATGTTTCAGTGTCAAGTGCCGTGCTGCACGTGGATTTTATTTGAGAGTTTGTTGTCTCGCAGGGCCCCTTTCCAAACGATCCAAAATGAAATGGCTTCCGAAAGCTCGTACATTCAGATTCAGATTGATTCAGATTGATCTCCAAGCTCCTCTGGTTCCGCCTTGCTGGTTTGATTTATTGAATGCTTGCATCACCAGTGAGCTGGTTCATTCATACCCCTCGTAGGTGTTTTGCTGCTTCAGTGCGTTTGCGCCATCATGGACACGCCGGCAGAGAAATCAGATCCACCTCAGAATGCTGAGCCTCCTGCTGACGATGGCAGTGAGGGTGAGCAGGAAGCTGAGGATTGGGGTGATGAGTTCAATCAGATGGCCCCTAAGGCCAAAGCCAAAGCAGCGTCAAGAGGCAAGGGCAGAGGTAGGGGAAAGGCCAAGGCAAAGTCGAAGGCAGGTGGGGCAGGCAAGAAAAGAGAGCCTGTCACCAGCTGCATCTGCCCTGGCTGCCCATTCCCAAAATACCCAGGGAGCCGCTTCTGTGCAACAAACGATCATAAAAAAGCCTGGGACAATATGGTGTATCAAAGAAGAAGCCGCAAGAGCCTCACGGAGAAAGAGCGAAGCGCGTTCGATGAGGCCATGAAAGATGATATGGCTGCAGGCCGTGCAGTGGAAGCCTTCGCTCGGGACAACCCTCCTGAGATGAAAAAGAAAGGCTTGGTGGACTTCGCTCAGTTCTTGCGGATCGTTGGGCAAAGGGTTGGCAAACGTGACACAAGCGGTGATGTCCCGATGACAGAACGGGCCTTTTACAAACATTGTGAGAATGTTTGGGGCTTGTCTGAGTCGGAAGCTGCTGAGTTGTGGAGGGATTATGACAGTGATCCCCAGACTGAACGGGACAGCAAAGGGTTTCATGGAGCTTTGCGCTTGTGGATCCCGGCGCATGAAATCAAAACAAGAGAGAGAGAGCACTACGTGGACAATAGAGTTACGGAAGGATCAGATGTGATGAAGGCACCGTCTCTGGAAGACCGTCGGATCTTGAAGGACATAGTTGGGGGCAGTTGTGGGGGTAACTTATGTGTCAGTTGTTTGGTCACTGTGTTTAAGTTCATTTTTCTTTATCAACTGATTTGTTGATAGAGTTCTTTTCTGCACCGTTGCCAGGACCACCTGCGTCGCCAAGACTTGGGCTTCCGTGATGACCATTTCCAGATCAGTTCTGATCAACATGTTGATGTGGCAATGCGAACGCCGGTCAAAGGTGCAGCTCTTGCTGAGGGCCCTGGGAATGTGAAACCTGAGGTTGAAGACAAGTTGGAACCCCCAGAGAAATCGGTCAACATGACCAGGGAAAGACCTATGTTTCACAGATCTGCAGACGCCGGGCTCCGAAAAATGAAAGCCGAGTTGTCAAAGGTCATGCTGGCAGGGGTGGCGGCCAGCGTTGCTTGGCGTGCTCACCCAAATGAGTTGAAAACTACTGACCGTGCCTTGCTTGCATTCTGTCGTGTGTTCCAATTTAGATTTGAAGCGGGACATCGATGCTTGGGCTCTCCAGAGGACATCGTGCAGCTGGTCCCAGACAACTCGCTGTGTTCTGGAGACTCAGCTGCCGGGTCTGCGGGTGCCGATGAGTCAAGCTGCGCTTGGACTGATGGTATGACAGATGCACAGAAAACGAAGGTGAAGGAAGCAGTGGATGCTAGAAAGAAGCTGTCCTTTGAAGACTTTCTCAAGGAAAGCAGGACAACGCAGCAGAAGTTTTGGGATGGTGAGCAGACGGCCCTTGTACCCTTGGCTGTGCTTGAGAGCCTTGTGGAGAAGATTCTGGAAACACATGAAGTGGGAGCCTTTCTTGAGTTGAAGAAGCAATGGGCAAACGCCCAGGTGTGCATGCAAACTTTTACAAAGGGCATCAAGCAATCTGCGGATGACTTGGTGAAACATATGAAGGTGAAGGTGGCTGAAGCTGCCCGGGAGAAGAAAAGAAAGGCCGAGGATGACGCAAAGGCTCAGCTGCAGAAGATCAGAGAAGAGGCCAAAACTGCGGCTGATGCCATCAAGAAACGCAAGACTCAGCATGAGAAAGTGTGTCCAGCCCTCTTTACAGCTACCTGGGATGAACAGGCTGCTCCGAAAGTCAATGCAATTGACGATCCCGAATCACTGAAAGATGGTGATTGGGCATCTCCATGGATCATGGTCAATACCGAGAAGTCTGAGGCTGTGAAGGAATGCATTGGTGGAACTGCTTTGTCCCGGTCTTTGACATCATGGGGAGGGCAGTACAAAAAGAGTATGGCACAGGCAAAGTTGCATCACGTGACCTACCCACTTGATGCCAAGACTGGTTTGAACGAGGTCAACGCTTTGTTCGACTTATGGATCGGAGATGGCCGCAAGGTTGACATTTCAGAGGTGAAGGGCGGGTCAGCCTTCATGGAAGCTGCCTGGCTTTTTGGATGTAGTGCTGAGATGAAACATGTGGGGTTCAACACCAACCATGCAGGTCTTATCAAAGTACTTGCAGTTGGGGAGGTTCGCCATCTTCTTCTGGAGTGGCAGTCATTTGTGGAAGCCTTCCAGGAGTCCCTTGGGGATGGATCTGACGGTCTCAGCCCTGAGGACCTGTTTGAAAAATTCAAAGAAGCGGATGAGAACAAGATCATTGAGTTATGCAAGCGTGGGGCCAACATGTCGCAGTGCATTCTCAAGAAGCATGACATCCTTTTTGTTCCGACAGGATGGGTGACGGTAGAAGTTTCTTCCGATTGCACTTTGATCTATGGCTTCCGCAAGTCTGTCTTCTTGAAAGGATCTGCTGAGGCGTACAGCACGGCCGTGAAGATTGTGAAGGGTGGTGGTGGCAAGTCCGTCACTCGGATGGAGCAAATCCTGGAGAAGTTGAAGTAGACTGGCCCTGGCGTTTTCTCTTTTTTTTCGGGTTTTCTGCCATGACTGCAATGCAGTCAGGGCTTCGGCGGGCTTCGGGTCGAGGTGCTTGGCAAGACTGAATTGTCTGAGCTGAGAGCTTTTGGGCTCATAAACTTTTATCGCTGGGAAAACCTAGCACAGTTTGGCTCAGAAAAAAATCGGGCATCGTGTTCAGCTCGAAGATTTTGGTTCGCCGTTCACCCACTATTGTTTCGACCAACTTTGCTGCAATTTGATTTGATACTCACTGCTGGCATTTTGTGCCCGCAGCTTGGATGGGATCTCATTCAAGTCCACCCAGAGACAACTTGACCTTGAGTTTGAATCTTTTTGTTGTTATTGTTGTTCTTGTTTGGATTCCTTGAAGCTGTTTCGCAGAGAGACCGCCGTCACCATAGCATTCCTGATTTAATCTGAAGTGTGTGAGCGCACTTTTGAATGGAAAATCCAGTCTTGTTGTGATGGTTTCTTTGTTTGAAGAAATGGCTTGCGCCTTGCGCTGGGTGTGTGCAGGGTGCTTTGTTAAGCTTGCTGTTTGCCAGTCTGCCAAATTAAATTTGCGAGTGCCTTGCCAACACCGCAATTTACCACAGGCGACAGTGTTTCCTGGACCTTGTGCAGATGCCAGTCCTTTTCAACACTTTAAAACGAAAGACATACACTACCACACACATTAGGAACTTTTTTTGAAATAGGCCCCACTGCTGCCCCACCATTTTGGATTTCTTGAAAAGTTAGTGTATCTCTCCACTTTCATCTTGGTGCTTCTGGTTTGCCGCTGTTTGTCAGTCAAAGTAGCCTCTTTGCTTTCCCATCTTTTGAATTTCCCATGTTCCCTTTTCATCCTGTACCTTGAAGGCGCCCAACACAGAAAAACGATGTGGCTGTTTGATTTTCAGTGGAGCGCAAGGCTTCCAGGAATAGGAGTTCCCACAGGATCCACAGGGGAAAACGTGAAAATTGCTAAGTTTCATTATTTTTATTACTAGGGGGTGAAACCCACAAATGGTAGCTTCATTTTTAAATTGTTTTCTAAAGGGGATCAATTAAAAATCAAATTGGCCAAGCTGAAATTTTCCAAAATTAGAGATGGACCCCAGTTTTTATTTTTTTTGGGGAGGTTTAGGAATAGGGGACGGGATTATTGAAACTGGCAATCTTTAGTTACTGGGGGTGGGTTCCTCTCTGCTTAAGTGAAACGGCCATTTTTAGTTGATTTACCTATTGACAATTGGTATCCTGCTGGCCATTGTTAGGACAATTGTAATTTGTTACAGTTCGTTATTTAAAAAATTGCCATAGAATCCATAGAAATAGTTGATTTACCCATTAAAAATTGTGAGTTTCCATCGTTTTTTGTACGTTTACCAGAGGGTACCACCGTGGCGCCCCCGCAGGCTGTAGTGGTGAAGGCCTTCGATGACGGCAGCAAGGTGCGGTCCTTCGGGCACTGCCTGGTGGCGGGCATCGATCGGGCGCCGTTGAAGGTCACCAGGCAGGATCCGGAGAGCTTGGAGCCTCCAAGGATAGCCCAATAAATTCCATTGCCTCAAACCATAGGAAAAACCATGGGAAATTGGGAAAACATAGGAAAACCCATAGGAAAATGGAGGTTTAAAACATTGAGATATCCAAAAATCGCTTAAAACGAGCGAATTCTTCGAAAGGATCTTCCGAACTTCTATCTTTGCAGGTTGCTGTAATTACTGTAAGTCTATCCACATTCAATATCATTTAATATGTTTGTGTTTCAACAACCACAGGAAGATGTCCAAGAAGAAGATCACCAAGAGGACCAAGGTGAAGTGCCGATCCCCAGGAGCTGGTGACCGGTGAATCCTGCCCATGAGATCCAAGGAATTGAACGATGGGTAATGGACCATAATTTGGACAATTTCCATCCATTTCAACCATCATCAAGCATCATTTGTAGATGATGTTCATTATTTTCCCAAATAGCCTATGGTAAACTGACATGGCTATAGGGTAGATGGCCCATGTATAGTTTTACCTATTTAAAATATTTGAAAATTGTGATGTTCCATTGCTAGGTTTACCATTTAGTTCACTGAAAGCCAACCTTTTTGCAAGTGATCAATGAACGAACTCAAATGGTTGTTTCTTTGGGTAAAGCACCCTCCTACTGAGATCCTTTTTTTGATGGGGTTCCAAGGTTGAGTTTCCAGGGGCTGAAAGGTATTTGCAAGGAGGGTTCACATTTGAGGGTGGTTCAGCAGTTCTTTGGCATTTGTTTCATGGTTTGGGTGAAATCCAGCTTCCGTCAGATTCCTAAAAAAGGTCCTCCGATATCGAATTCCCCCAAAACGGAGGTCAAATACCCTCTGGTAATTTAACATAGCCATGGAAAATCACAATTTATAATAGGTAAACCATCTACAAATGGGCAATTTTCAATAGCTATGTTAGTTTACCAGAGGGTACATCCAAATTTTCTTGCTATCTGATACTGGGGGATGGGATTCTCATCACGACATGATCATCTGGGAGGTGGTTGCCTTCATCTCTTTCTCTACATGGGGGGTTCCATAAATGAGGGATACCCCAAATGGTAGGTTTATAGTAGAAAATCCTATTCAAATGGATGATTTGGGGGTACACCCTTTTTGGGAAACCTCCATATATGTACATATGCACATATGGACATATCAATATATACATATAATTATATATATGATATATGTATATTTATATGCACGTACATACATACATACATAAATATATATATATACGTACACACACACATATATATATAATCATATATATAATTATAAAGTATATATACAGTATATGTTTGAATTATAATGACCTCACCGTGACGTCGCTGGAATGATGGTTGCTAATTTCAGCTATTTTCAGTGAGCAAATTATTGCAAATATATGCACATATTGTAATTCAGCGAGATAATAGAATATGATAATGGTTTATATATATATATACATACATCCATAGCGTGCATTTGCACATATACGCACATATATATATATATATACATACAATAAATGTGATTATGGGTGTGTCTACATACATATGAAATATGAATTCAAAATAGATATGCACGAACACACACACATGTATATATATATATATACACATACAAATAGAATCAAATCAATAAATAAACATATGAGTGCGCAAATTCACACAGAGTTCCCCACTGGGCCGCCGACCTAGGCCTTTTGTGAAGTACGCGAACTACAATCACATCATGCCTACCAGATATCAGGCGGCTGGAGAGTTGGTTTGTGAAGTGTAAAGACTTCAGTGAAGACTCGTTTAACGGGGAAAATATGTCAAATCATCTAAATCTATATACCTCATGGTTCTTGAACATTCCGGGTATTGAGGAATCCTTCCATCGGCATCATCTCCTCACTGCTGCACTCCAGGTGCCAAACGAACTGACCCCTGCCACTATGGTGACAGATCAGCAGATGGATACCCCAGATGGCCGAAAGGAAGCGCGTAAGTTCGCCAAGAGCAACTTGGTGGCTGATTTTGTTTGGGATGGTTGAGCATTTTTTTGGAAAAAAAAACTCGATGAGAATAGATAAGCACATTATGGTATCACCACCCCTTTAAGGCTACTTGTCAGGGAGGGACCATACCAAAATGTAAGATACTTTTTTTGGGACCCCCCTTAAATGTAAAATTGGTCGCTGAACGTCCCCCATGTCGTTTTTGTGGGGAGGGTCTTCAAAATACCTTCAACATGTAAGCTTACATTTTCAAGGCCCCCCCAAAAACACCTTGAAAAGTGTAGCTTACATTTTGGGTACGTCCTCCCACCTTAAAAACGGTGGTGATATTATAGTACCCAACGCAGCCAGTTACCTGCATATTGGGACGTTCGAACTGGAATCAGGCACCATGATTCAAGATCAACTTGGATATATCTTTGTGAGGCTTTGATCATGTCCTCAACGCTAGCTCCAAGCTTTCCAAAACGAGTTTTTTGATACGGAACGGCAAAAGGTCACCATGAAATCGGGTGGAATTCCTGAGAACAGTTCTGCCCAGGAGCCCTTGGGGTAGACTTGTTGCGAAGAAGTAGAAATCAATCAACAGTGATAGATTTTGTTAGCTTTCAGAATCTCCATATATATATATATTATATAGTATACCCATGTTTCCCCGAATTTAGATGCCTTTCCGTATTTTTGCTGCCCTGACTAGTAAGCGAGACACCTGGAAGCGAAATGACCCTTATATAATTATATACATATATATATATAAATATTAAATATTATATTATATTTATGTTTGAAATATTTGCTTATGGAGGTTCACTGTCCAAAATCGATATGTTGTTGATTCCAGACGTGTAAAATTGTTGGTAGCTGTTTGATCTCACTTGCACCACCATGATCATCATGTTCCCTTAGTAGTTGTTGCACTGCATAAGTGAATATAAGTGGCACACTTACTATGCACGTTCTCATTGGTAATTGAGTAATTGATCCTCCAACTAGCAGGTCGATTATATAGTGGTTTCTTGAAGTTCTAAGGTGAGATTTTAAGCATCTTTTTGGGATGATGTCCCGCGGTTGGATGGTCCCCAAGGTACGTTACCCTCTGTTTATGTCAACAGTTTGCCATTGAAAATGGTCCATAGAAATAGTTGATTTTCCCATTAAAAATGGTGATTTTCCATAGTTATGTTAGTTTACCAGAGAGTAATAGGGAAACACCTGCAGAAAGGAAACCATGTTTCTTCCTTGCGTTTGCTGATTTGTTTGTTGTGATTGTTGCCTTGGATCCTGCGGGATCCACAATGCCATATCTTGATCCATGGTTGGGAATAGTTTCTATCTTTGCATGGAATTTAGGTTCCTAGCTTTGGGGCTGACATGGACCAAGAAAGACCAAGCCTAAATTAAATGTCAAACTTTTGGGGCGTGATGTGGTGAATCTAATCTACTAAACCTCCAATTTTGCATGGTTTCGATCACCCATGGAGATGGCAATATTGGGGGTGGCTTATGAAATTGGCAGTACCAAATTATAGACATTTATACACCCAATTTCATATACCCTCCCCTAAACTAACATAACTATGGAAACCCAACATTTTTGATGGGTATTCATCAACTATAAATGGCCATTTTCAATAGTTTTTTGTCTTTTGTATGTTTACAAGAGGGTACCACAACTTGGGCATTGCTTCCCAACAGCGAGTCACAAAAACCCCAGGCTTGTTCCAAGAGAAGTTCCAAGCACCGCCACCGGACAAAGCCGGTCGCCCTTCCAAGGTGCGCCGTTTGGAAGTCGGAAGATGTTCATGGTAAGTTTTAGCGTTGAAAACAAAACTTTCATTTTCATGTTAAGTATTTTAAGCCACGAAGTCAGAAGATCTTCCAAGGTCTTCATCATTTTCATGTTTCACATGGAAGTATCTGAAGTATTTGGAAGTTGTTGCAGTTGAAAGACGTGTTGATTGCTCGGTGCATGGTGTGTAATTTCATTGAAAGTTTTGTGCTGATCTTTAGCGGCACGCTATCCACGCAATTTCACCTAGACCTTTCCGCGCAAATGGAAGCTATAGTGGGTTCACCCTTTCCAGTGCGACTCTGGAACAAGCTTTGAGGATTTGAGGGTTAGACATGCGCATGTTCAACGTGATATTCTTTCCTTTCCTATTTCCCAAATTTATTTGATCAGAACATCTAGAATCGCGTGGAGGGACGCATGTGGATCGCAGAAACCACCCTCGCGTAATGAGTAGGACATCCACCATTCATGTTCATCGGTTTTCATCTATTTCCCTACATACTTGTATACAAAGAAAAGGGGGTCTGCATGTTGTTCATTGCCAGAGCAATGCAGAGGGCGAAGGGTAAGTCATCTCAGCACCCAGGACGTGCTCTACTTGCGCAAGAAGCTCCGCTTCTGAAATCTCGTCGTCCCGTCCAATGTCCAGTGCGTGCCGGAAAAGACCCACCGCGCTAAGGGGAGGGAGGTTGCCCTGGCCTTTTTTTGTGAGCTACAATGATTTGGTGATACAACATCTATCTATCAATCAATCTATCTATCTATCTATCTGTTTGTTTGTCTGTCTATCTATCGATCTATCACAGGGTTCTCTTTTGTAACTTTCAAGAGAACGCCCGTGGCCTTAGCTAGTCTATACCAGCAATCTGGCAAACCCTAAACCATAAACCATACCACATAGAGTTTTTTTTGGTTTATGACATTGGGTATGCCCCCAGTCATGGTTGGTTAATTTTGTTAATGGGATGGTTTATGAAATATGAAATTGGCTATGCCAGCTATTCTTAACCCTTTGGTTCAATGGGAGTGGTTCTCTTCTCCGCATCAAAGAATAATAAACCGCCCCCACAAAGCCGCTGGGAGCTTCGCCATAGCTGCAGTGATGAAGGGATGCAGCTGCAAAATCATGGCATAGTATGGCTCGAAATAGCGCATATGGCACAGTATTGCTCACAAATCTCATTCCTCATTCAAAATTAGATGCTAGCTGGATTCTAAAGCATAATCTCATTAAAAAACAACGATATGGTTTGATTTGAGGATCTTTGATGCTAAACATGACTATCTCTGCACCCCCGAGTTTTACCATACCATACCTTGCGGCACTGGTCATGGGAAACTTCCTCTCGCTGAGAAATAACCAACCACGTCAGCTTTGGGAAATGTTTTAACTCGCAGTCTTGGACGTCGGATTTTGGGGTTTCCTAATTTTAGGGGGATCCCCTGGATGGTTACTGAAGAATCAATCTATAAATGGATGATAAATGGGGTACCACCATTTTAGATCATTTTAGGAAATCTTGGCAACAGAAAACGCATTTGGGGTGGTTTGTCGATGGCAAGGGCATAGCGGCATACTCATTGGTGACCGTCCGGGGGTCATCTTTCCCCGGCCCCATCAGGGTGAACATCTTTGTCCATCGTTGACCGTGCCTAAGCTCGTGCCGGCGCCGTGGCGTGCCATGTCGCAATGCCGCCACTGGCCACATTTGGCATTCCACCGCCATCACCAGGTAACCTGGCAGTGACGCGCGGTCCAAAAAAATGCTGAAGAATCATATGGGCATATGGGCATTTAACATTCATTTAAACATTGTTAACATCATTCAACCTCCCAAGGGTAACCCCAAGGACAAGGGCTTCGGTCGAGGGCTTACTAACCACCAACAACCACAAGTATGGGCTTACTCCAGAGATCTTCAGAGATTGCAAATGCAGAAGGAACATTTATATTGCCAAATGAGTAATTAGGGATGGTATGTGGAACCGTGAACCACGGGCTAAAAAGAGGAATTTGAAAAACATTCCTGCTTCAAAGATCTTCAAAGTGCCAAGTGCAGACAATGCTGTCTCCAGGCGGTTGTTGCCCGAAGAATCGCCTTCAGAAATGTGGACATGTTTTCCTCAGTTGTGATCGTGTTTTATACCGTGTTCACTACAGTCCAGTACCAGAACTAACCAGTGGCCAGTGGGCAATTTTTGCATATGTGGGATGTGTATTGGAGTGTATCCTTTGCAGTCAAACATCCACTTTCGGTAGCTGTATCCAAAGTTTGGGTTCCTTAGCCCCACCACAAGATGACGTATGTACAGGGGAACCATACAAAGAACCTTGGTTCAACAAATCACCACAGTTTTTGGGTTGGATTGAAACACCTTGTCCATGTGAGTTTTTTTGTGACCATTGTGATCATATCGTTGATATGATGAATCGGTAAATCCATTTTATCCCCAGTTCTTTTTCTTTCGTGCATATCATGGGTGAACTTGGTAGCCAAGTCATGTACTTTTATGGGCCATGGCTTCTATACAATATCCCCATGCCTGTTGGTTGAATCCCTATTCATCACCATAAACCCAATGAAATCCCATGAAAACATATGAAACCACGATTTATAGTCATGAATTTCCCATTGATTGTGGATGAAGATTTTTTTCTCCATGAAAAATGAGTTCTTCATTGAAAACTCCCAGGACTTTTCCGTTTGGGGTCCGTCCATCGTCATCTCCCCTGCGTGGCCCCAGGCTTTCCGCCGCTTCACTACGGATTTCCGAGGTGCTCATGGACCTGGAAGACCTGGAAGACCTGGAGCCACTTAAATGGGTCAGAGCTTCGGATCCGGATGCTGGATGCTGTATCCAGATAGTGTGAATCATAGTATATCCAGAATCTGGTTGGTGGTTTGGAACATGGCCATGGCTTTTATTTTTCCATATATTGGAAATAGTAACCCCAACTGACTTTAATATTTTTCAGAGGGATTGAAACCACCAACCAGTAATTATCCATATGAAATACTATAATACATAATATATATATATATATCATTTTGGTGAATTTTGGTTTCTTTACCCAGTTTTTTTTACTTCTGCATAGTATATCCATAGTTCCATGATGTTTTTCCGATTTTTTGACCTCAACTGACCTCGCTCCAACGCAGACGCAGCTCTGTGCGCCGTGTGCGCTGTGTGCTGCGACGGGCAGAAGCAGATGATCGTTTGGTGCTGGTGGCGGTTCCTGGGCCACGGGGGACAAATCAATATATAACCACTAGTAAACCTTCAATCATAAGGGGTTTCCATCAATGAGGGTACCCCAAGCTCGCTGGTTGATTTATTTCATGGAAATCCTATTGAAATGGATGATAAAATGGGGTGCCCCCATTTTAGGAAAGCTCCAATCACTAGGGATCTTTTAGATTTCAAACATTGCCGATGTTGAATTGTCATGGCGACATGACTGTATCATACTGTATCATGCTTGTGGTAACAATTGATAGTTGACATCAATATATATATATACAAAGTAGACCAAGTTACTGTAGCCTTAGTCTGTCTTTCCTTTGACGTAGTAAACCTATGTAAACAATTTAACTGTCTACCACATTAAGCTTCACAACGGTCTCCCGTAGATGCTGGGCTTGGGTGACCATCTGATTTCACAGTGAGCATATATGGGTACACATACTTGGGTAACTGAGACACATGGAAGTAACACCTCTTCAAATGGAAATGATCATGGACTGATTCCCGAAATCGTAGGGTAAGTAATTAAAGGCTAACGCTTACCCTCGGGTAAACAAACATGGCTATTGAAAATGGCCCAGTCGAAATGTTGATTTACCATTAAAAAATGGTGATTTTCCATAGTTATGGGACAGTTTATCATGTCGGGTAGCCATCACAAATTGACACTCCATGATTTCGGCATGCCCTTCCGTTGATTGCCACTGACCATCCAACTGGTCCGGATTATGCCGATTGGACAAATCCACCAACCATGAGTTGTTTTGGGGCTGGGTTTTCTGTGGAATGTCTGAGAATTGGATATAACACCCTCAAACAACTATATCAACTTTTTTTTTAAAATGGGGAGAATAATTATGGGGAAAATGATGATTAATCAGTGGATTAGGGAGATACCCTAGTCTCAGACATCCCCATATTATAGTTTAATAGTATCTAGCAGGGGGCGAAGAATGTTGGACACAACATGATACAACTCAATCCATCATCAGGTTGGAGAGATTGTGGCTGTGTTCAACCCCTGTTGGTTGATGATTAGTTCAGCGATTATATTGCCCAATATACTGGAAGGTATACTCATCCATGAAGTGTGAATCACTTTTTAACATTTTTGAAAGCCAACCAGTCTTAATGGGTCTCAGGGGTTAGCAGCGTTGCGGGTTTTGAATAGTTTTGAACACTGCTAGACTGAGGTTGTAGCAATCTTGTGGAATGTTTTGGTCATCACTTTAGCCCTTCTGGCAGAGATCGGAGACACTGAACGCCGTGAACGAGGTAAGTCCATACGGGTTTGTCTCCAATTTTTTTGGTTCCCATAGGTTCCCCAGAATTCCATGGTTCATCATGTTCCATCATGTTCCATCATGTTCCATCATGTTCCATCATGTTTTCGTCATTTTAACGGTCGTTTTGCACCCATCTTCAGACACGAAAATCATCTATGACTGTCCCAGTTGATACGTGGATGTGTTGAGCACGTACACCTTGACCTTCATAAATGATGTTTGTAGAATCCTTAGGTGAAACATGGCAAAAGGACATCAACTGAACTTACATCTACAACATATACGAGACATGTTTCAGCAGCTAGGCATCCCTGTTCTATTGCAGATGTTGCAAACCATGGGACAAGTATTCTTATCACTGTGATTCGATGCGATACAACCCTATCTTCCTACTGCTACATTCTCATTGATCCCAAGTGAAATCACTCTACTTCTCTCTACATGTCTCTAATGTCAATTTCATGTTGAGATCTGAAGTTTTTTCCATCGCCATTTTTTGTGTCGTTTTATCGAATCTCAGTGGCCGCAGCTCCCCAGTGCCATCGCGTCGCCAGGTGCCTCCTTTCGGTCGTTGAAGAAGAGGACCTGGGGGCTCCAGAGCCTGCAGCAGGCGGATGGCCCCATTCCGCGGCTCATCCCTTCTCTGGAGGAACTGGGGTGCCTTGGCGGCAGCACCGTGGGTTCAAAAAGGGGACCTATTTTTTGGGATAGCTGAGTTGGTTGATACCATTTTGATACCGTTTTGTAGCTAGTAACAGCTAGTATTAATATGTATTAGTATTATATAATATTTATTAACTAGTACTATCACACACACTAGACACGAATGGATCATTATATGATCCGGCAGGAACTGAATCCTGAAACATGCAGATTAGAGATGAAACAACGAAATTAATAATGTATCCTACGAAAAATAGACGTTCAGCTGAATGATCTTCCAGATTGCGACAACAGTGCAGCAAATTGTGTAATATTGTGGGTGGGGTTCGAAGCTTGGCCCCTTGCTATGTCCGAAAAAAGGCAGGTACGTGGAGTTGATCAGACTCCATATCCTAGTCAACTGCATGGAGCTTCGTTGGCGACAGCCATGCAGCGACCCTGTCGCCCCCTGCACTAGGTTTAGAAAAGGAGAGGACAGAAGGAAGAAAAAGAGAGAAGTTTTACATCTATTTAGATGTTACACACACACACCCGGCCGGAGCCGGGTCAACCCTGAAAGGCAAGAGGAAGAAAAAAGCGAACACAGACGACGGGCAGAAGGCCAGAACAGCGCAGGGGGGGGAGGGGAACAAACGGACCTCCAAAACCAACCTACACGGCGAAACGGACCTGACCAAAACAGCGCACACACCTAAACCCCACGACACATTACGGAGAGGCACGCGGGGAAAAAATTAGGGACCAGATGGGGGACTAGTTGATGACAGACCAGAAAACCAAAACAATTAGTTAAACAACAGGACTCAGTTCCTAATTACCTAGATGTCGTGCGATTATTCCCTGCACCGGGACCGTGGTCAAGTCTTGCCCCGATTGGCATAAAACGGCTTTCAAGTTCCAGCGAATTAGGTGCACAATATGTTTGACCTCACCAGACAACCAAAAGAAAAGAGACCACACCTGAAAGTCGTGTGCCTGCCTTTTCACAATGTCTTGAAATGATGTCGTGTAACTGCAAAGGTTGCTGCAAAAACGGAGGTTTCTGGCAGTTCGGAGCGGCTTCACTCAATAGAGATGCATTCCACTGGGTTCACAAAGGACAACCGGAAACGCGGGACTTCACAAAAAGGTGCAAAACGGAAAGGCCAACTGTTTCGCTTTACTTAAACGAATTACCATATTAAAATGTGTGAATTCGGAATTCAAGTCAGTCGACATTGACCCCAACTGGGGTTGCCTCAATTGGCCCTATGGCACCATGTCGGAGTCACCATAGGAATCACACTAGACAAGAATGGATCATTATATGATCCGGCAGGAACTGAATCCTGAAACATGCAGATTAGAGATGAAACAACGAAATTAATAATGTATCCTACGAAAAATAGACGTTCAGCTGAATGATTTTCCAGATTGCGACAACAGTGCAGCAAATTGTGTAATATTGTGGGTGGGGTTCTAAGCTTGGCCCCTTGCTATGTCCGAAAAAAGGCAGGTACGTGGAGTTGATCAGACTCCATATCCTAGTCAACTGCATGGAGCTTCGTTGGCGACAGCCATGCAGCGACCCTGTCGCCCCCTGCACTAGGTTTAGAAAGGGAGAGGACAGAAGGAAGAAAAAGAGAGAAGTTTTACATCTATTTAGATGTTACACACACACACACCCGGCCGGAGCCGGGTCAACCCTGAAAGGCAAGAGGAAGAAAAAAGCGGACACACGACGGGCAGACGGCCAAAAACAGCGCAGGGGGGGGAGGGGAACAGACGGACCTCCGGAACCAACCTACACGGCGAAACGGACCTGACCAAAAACAGCGCACACACCTAAACCCCACGACACATTACGGAGAGGCACGCGGGGAAATTAGGGACCAAATGGGGGACTAGTTGATGACAGACAGAAAACCAAAACAATTAGTAAAACAACAGGACTCAGTTCCTAAACCTAGATGTCGTGCGATTGTCCCTGCAGGAACCGTGGTCAAGTCTTGCCCCGATGGGCATAAACGGCTTTCAGTTCCAGCGAATTAGGTGCACAATATGTTTGACCTCACCAGACAACCAAAAGAAAAGAGACCACACCTGAAAGTCGTGTGCCTGCCTTTTCACAATGTCTTGAAATGATGTCGTGTAACTGCAAAGGTTGCTGCAAAAACGGAGGTTTCTGGCAGTTCGGAGCGGCTTCACTCAATAGAGATGCATTCCACTGGGTTCACAAAGGACAACCGGAAAACGCGGGACTTCACAAAAAGGTGCAAAACGGAAAGGCCACTGTTGCGCTTTACTTAAACGAATTACCATATTAAAATGTGTGAATTCAGAATTCAAGTCAGTCGACATTCACCCTGAACTGGGGTTGCCTCAATTGGCCCTATGGCACCATGTCGGAGTCACCATAGGAATCACACTAGACAAGAATGGATCATTATATGATCCGGCAGGAACTGAATCCTGAAACATGCAGATTAGAGATGAAACAACGAAATTAACAATGTATCCTACGAAAAATAGACGTTCAGCTGAATGATCTTCCAGATTGCGACAACAGTGCAGCAAATTGTGTAATATTGTGGGTGGGGTTCTAAGCTTGGCCCCTTGCTATGTCCGAAAAAAGGCAGGTACGTGGAGTTGATCAGACTCCATATCCTAGTCAACTGCATGGAGCTTCGTTGGCGACAGCCATGCAGCGACCCTGTCGCCCCCTGCACTAGGTTTAGAAAGGGAGAGGACAGAAGGAAGAAAAAGAGAGAAGTTTTACATCTATTTAGATGTTACACACACACATATATGTATATAGATATGTATATATATATATATATATGTTCATAACTATATACAAACACGCACACACACATACATATATATATATATACATAACTATATATATAAATACATCTTTGGTGAAAATATTGCTCAATATAAAAGGAATCCCTATTAGGTGTGACCCTACACAACTAGCTAAGTTGGTGTGTCTAGTCACTCTAGTCATATGTGCCATAAACCAAAAACAATACTTATTGGAGTTATACACTAACTGAGCTATCTCGGGAACCCCACATTTTTCTCATGTATCGATCACCAGATGCCACCTATCAAGCCAACTCATATTGTATATGAAATACTAGTGTTTCATCCAAAAATACGATTCATATCCACCATTCTGGATCATGTTGGCCTCTATGGCCAGTTTCGGAGAAGTGCAGATGAACATATAATTTGCAGTCAAACCACGTTTTTTCCAAAAAACACTGGCTAAAAAAGCGTCGAGCACAAATCCCAGGTGGGTCGGGGAGAAGGAGACCTCCAGCACTTGGCCACTTGTAGTGGGTCGGGATTTTCTCCTTTGGTCATCAAAAATGGCAGGGATTTCTCCTTGTGGCCTGCTCCATTTGTTGGAAGATTTTCTAGCAATGTGAGATAATTAATGTGAGGAATTACCAGAAGGTAAAGGGTAGATAGCCAAGGTTTGCTATTTTAACGAAATCATATTATATCACGTACAGTCCTTTTTACCTTTCATTCATGTTGTTTTGGGGCCCTTTTTTTTTTGACCCCCCACCTTGTTTTTTTGACCCCCCCCTTGTTTTTTTGACCCCCCACCTTGTTTTTTTGACCCCCTGTTTTTTTAACCCCCTAACCTTGTTTTTCTGACCCCCCACCTTGTTTTTTTTTGACCCCCTGACCTTGTTTTTTTGACCCCCCACCTTGTTTTTTTGACCCCCACCTTGTTTTTTTGATCCCCCACCTTGTTTCTTTGACCCCCCACCTTGCTTTTTTGACCCCCTGGATCTGCTTTCCGGACCCCATGAAATTCATTAAATTCCTTGGGATTGATATTTTGTTTCCGCGGCAGGTTTTGGATTTTTTTTGGTTCCTGGTTCTATGCTTTCTTGCTTCTCTGCTTTTCTGCTGTTCTGCCGTTCTGCTTTTCTGCTTCTTTGCTTCTCTGCGTTTCTGCTTGTCCGCCTTTTGCTTTTGCTGCTTCTCTGCTTGTCTACTTCTCTGCTTTTCTGTTTTTTGCGTTGCCTGCTTTTTGCTTTTCCTGTTTCTCTGCTTTTCATGCTTCTCTGCTTTACCGGCTTCTTTTCTTTTCTGCTTCTCAGCTTTTCTGCTTTTGTGCTTCTATGCCTTTCTACTTCTACTACTACTATTCTACTTTTTCTTTTCCCCAGTCATGCGTTTTTGCCGCTCTACTTCCTGCTCCTCTGCTCCTTTGCTTCTCTGCTTCCTGTCTTTACTGCCTATTTGTTTTCTTTCTTTCATTTTGCTTTATTCTGTCCTTTTTGTATCCTACATTAAACCCTAAAGACCCTAGAAACCCTAAAACAACCTTAAATGAAACCTTAAAGAAACCGTAACCTTAAATGAGACCATAAAGAAAACTTAAATCAAACCCTAAATGAAAACCTAAAGAAACCCTGAATGAAACCATTAATGAAATCCTCAAGAAACCAACATGAACGTGTGAAAATCTTGATAAGAATTCCTGATAAGAAACCCCACGTAAAACCCTAGATTAAACCCCTAAATGAAACCCTAAAGAATCCCTTAGTCAAACCCTACAGAAACCCTAAAGAAACCCTGAATGAAACCCTAAAGAAATGTACATCCTAAAGAAACCCTACATGAAACCCCAAAGAATCCCTAAATGAAATCCTAAAGAATCCCTACATGAACCCCTAATTCATTTGTTTTATTCTCTCCTGTTTGCATCCTAAATGAAACCTTAAAGACCCTAGGTGAAACCCAAAGAAACCCTGAAGAATTCCTGCTAAGAAACCCCTACATGAAACACTAAATGAACCCTAACGAAACCATAAATTGACCTAAAGAAACCACAATTGAAAACCTAACGAAACTTTGAATGAAACCTTAAATGGCATCCGAAAGAAAATCTAAACGACACTCCAAAAAACTCTGAATGAAACCCTACATGGAACCCAACCTGAAACCCTGAAGAACCCGTAAACGAAACCCTAAATGAAACACTAAAGAGACCTTAAATAAACCTTAAGAAACAAAAAAAATTTATATAAACCCTAAAGAAACCCTGAATGAGCCCCTAAATGAAACCCTAAAGAGGCTCTAAATGAAACCCTGACTGAAACGCTAAATAAACTCACATGAACGTTTGAAAACCCTGATGAGAATTCCTGATAAGAAACCGTACATAAGACTCTAAATTAAACCCTAAATGAAACCTTAACGAATCCCTAAATCAAACCCTGCATGAAACCCTACAGAGACCCTAAATGAAACCCTAAAACATGTAAATCCTAGAGAAACCTAAAATGAAACCCTAAAGAATCCCTCAATGAAATCCTAAAGAACCCCTAATTGAAACCCTAATTCTTTTGCTTTATTCTCTCCTGTTTGTATCCAAAACAAAACATTAAAGACCCTAGGTGAAACCCAAAGAAACCCTGAAGAATTCCTGAAAAGAACTCCTGATAAGAAACCCCTACATGAAACACTAGATGAACCCCAAAGAAACCATAAATTAACCTAAAGAAACCGCAAATGAAACCCTAACGAAACTTTGAATGAAACCCTAAATGGCATCCTAAAGAAATCTCAAGCGACACACTAAAAAACTCTGATTGAAACCCTAAATGGAACCCAAACTTACATCCTCAAGAACCCGTAAACGAAACCCTAAACGAGACACTAAAGAAACTGGAAATGACACCCCAAAGGAACCCTAAATAACACCCTGAAGAAACATTAAATGAAACCCTGAATCAAACCCTACATGGAACCCTAAAGAAACTCTGAATGAAACCCTTAATGAAGCCCAAAGAAACCCTGAATGAAACCCTAAATGAAACGTTAAAGAAACCCTAAAGAAACCCACATGAGCGATTGGGAATCTTGATAAGAAATCCTGATGAGAAACCCTTCATAAAACCGAAATGAAACCCTAAAGAATCGCTAAATCAAACCCTACATGAAACCCGACAGAAACCCTAAATAAACCCGGAAAAAAGACCCTTAAGAGATGTAAATCTTAAAGAAACGCGAAACCCTAAAGAATCCCTACATGAATCCCTAATTCATTTGTTTTATTCTCTCCTGTTTGCATCCTAAATGAAACCTTAAAGACCCTAGGTGAAACCCAAAGAAACCCTGAAGAATTCCTGCTAAGAAACCCCTACATGAAACACTAAATGAACCCTAACGAAACCATAAATTGACCTAAAGAAACCACAATTGAAAGCCTAACGAAACTTTGAATGAAATCCTAAATGGCATCCTAAAGAGACCCTAGACGACACTCTAAAAAACCCTGAATGAAACCCTAAATGGAACCCAAACTGAAACCCTGAAGAAAACATAACCCTAAATGAAACACTAAAGAACCTCGAAATGAAACCCTAAAGAAAGCTTAAATGAAACCCTAAAGAAACCCTAAATGAAACCTTAAGTGAAGCCCTAAAAAAACGCTAAATGAAACCCTAAATGAAGCCCCAAAGAAACACTGAATGAAACCCTAAAGAAACCCTAAACCAAACCTACATGAAACCCTACAGAAACCCTAAATGAAACCCTAAAGAAATGTAAATCTTAAAGAAACCCTAAACGAAACCTTAAAGAATCACTAAATGACAACCTGAGTCTTTTGTGTGTGTGTGTATCCTCAATGAAACCCTAAAGACCCTAGGTGCAACCCAGAGAAAGCTTAAAGCCTTAAAGATATCCTGATAAGAAACCCCTACATGAAACCCTAAATGAACCCTAAAGAAACCATCAGTTAACCTCAAGAAACCACATATGAAACCCTAACGAAACTTTGAATGAGACCCTAAATGACATCCTAAAGAAACCCCAAGCGACACCCTAAAAAACTGTAGTTGAAACCCTTTAAATGGAACCCAAACTTAAATCCTCAAGAACCCGTAAACGAAACCCTAAATGAGACACTAAAGAAACCGTACATGAAACCCAAAAGAAACCCTCAAAAGATTTTAAAATCCCAAAGACACCCTGAATGAAACCCTAAAGAAACCTTTAAGAAACCCATATGAACGTGTGAAAACCTTGACAAGATTTCCTGATAAGAAACCATACACAAAACCCTAAATTGAACCCTGAAAAAAACCGCAAAGAATCTCTAAATCAAACCCTACATGAATCCCGACAGAAGCCCTAAAGAAACCCGGAAAAAAAACCTTAAGAGATGTAAATCTTAAAGAAACGGGAAACCCTAAAGAATCCCAGAGAATCCCTACATGAACCCCTAATTCTTTTGTTTTATTCTCTCCTGTTTGTATCCTAAATGAAACCTTAAAGACCCTAGGTGAAACCCAAAGAAACCCTGAAGAATTCCTGCTAAGAAACCCCTACATGAAACACTAAATGAACCCTAAAGAAACCATAAATTGACCTAAAGAAACCATAAATGAAAGCCGAACGAAACTTTGAGTGAAACCCTAAATGGCATCCTAAAGAACCCTAGACGACACCCTAAAAAACCCTGAATGAAACCCTAAATGGAACCCAAACTGAAACCCTGAAGAAAACATAACCCTAAATGAAACACTAAAGAGCCTCTAAATGAAATTCAAAATGAAACCTTAAATGAAACCCTAAAGAAACACTAAATGAAACCCTAATTGAAGCCATAAAGAAACCCTGAATGAAACCCTACTGTAAATCAAACCTACATGAAACCCTACTGTTACAGAAACCCAAAATGAAACCCTAAATGAAACACTAAAGAAATGTTAATCTTAAAGAAACCCTAGACGAAACCCTAAAGAATCACTAAATGACAACCTGAGTCTTGTGTGTGTGTTCTAAAGACCCTAGGTGCAACCCAAAGAAAGCTTAAAGCCTTAAAGATATCTTGATAAGAAACCCCTACATGAAACCCTAAATGAACCCTAAAGAAACCATCAGTTAACCTCAAGAGACCACATATGAAACCCTAACGAAACTTTGAATGAGACCCTAAATGACATCCTAAAGAAACCCCAAGCGACACCCTAAAAAACTGTAGTTGAAACCCTTTAAATGGAACCCAAACTTAAATCCTCAAGAACCCGTAAACGAAACCCTAAATGGGGAGAAGCATCAAAAAAAAATAAAAATGCATCAAACACAAAATATAAATGCATCAAAAAAAAATGACCATAAAGAAAGGAGGGAAGGAGGAAAGGAGGGAAGGAGGAAAGGAGGGAAGGAAGGAAGAAGGGAAGGAGGGAAGGAGGGAAGGAGGGAAGGAGGGAAAGAGGGAAGGAAGGAAGGAAGGAAGGAAGGAAGGAAGGAAATAAGGAGGGAAGGAGGGAAGAAAGGAAATAAGGAGGGAAGGAGGGAAGGAGGGAAGGAGGGAAGGACGAAAGGAAGGAAGGAAGAAAGGAGGGAAGGCGGAAAGGAGGGAAGGATGCAAGGAGGGAAGGAAGGAAGGAGGGAAGGAGGGAAGGAAGGAAGGAAGGAAGGAGGGAAGGAGGAAAGGAGGGAAGGATGCAAGGGGGGAACCAAGGGGGGAACCAAGGGGGGAACCAAGGGGGGAACCAAGGGGGGAACCAAGGGGGGAACCAAGGGGGGAACCAAGGGGGGAACCAAGGGAAGGATGGAAAGAAGGAAGGAAAGAAGGAAGGAAGGAAGGAAGGAAGGACCATGTGTGCAGTCAACACTTGCAGCTTGCAGCCACCACGGGCAGCGTGCAAAGTGCTGCTGAGCTGCTAGAGCTGAGGGGTTTCCAAAACTATTTTCTGGCCTTGTTCGGGCCTCGTTTTGGCATCATTTTTGGCCTCGTTCGGAACCCGTTGCAGAAATACTGAGTTGAGATGCAAGTCAGAGCCACATAGATTTGTGACCAAAACATTCCAAAACATACATGAACCATGCCCTCACATTTTGTTTTGAGACTTGTGCCTATGTGCTTCTCTCTTGGTACGCATTGCGGGGGGAGGCGCTGCGCCCTCCCCCCTGCACCCCCCCACCCGCTTTTATTTTTAAACCGGTTCCCCTTGCTACCTACTATTCCTTTCTTTTTGCATAAGCATCATCGTTTATTTGGGTTAATTTCATCTTTGTTGATATCCATCGAGACCTCTGCCTATGTGCTTCTTTCTTGATCTTCTCGTTCTTACTTGCAATATATCCATTGAGACTTGTGCCTATGTGCTTCTCTCTTGGTACGCATTGCGGGGGGAGGCGCTGCGCCCTCCCCCCTGCACCCCCCCACCCGCTTTTATTTTTAAACCGGTTCCCCTTGCTACCTACTATTCCTTTCTTTTTGCATAAGCATCATCGTTTATTTGGGTTAATTTCATCTTTGTTGATATCCATCGAGACCTCTGCCTATGTGCTTCTTTCTTGATCTTCTCGTTCTTACTTGCAATATATCCATTGAGACTTGTGCCTATGTGCTTCTCTCTTGGTACGCATTGCGGGGGGAGGCGCTGCGCCCTCTCCCCTGCACCCCCCCACCCGCTTTTATTTTTAAAACGGTTCCCCTTGCTACCTACAATTCCTTTTTTTTGCATAAGCATCATCGTTTATTTGGGTTAATTTCATCTTTGTTGATATCCATCGAGACTTGTGCCTATGTGCTTCTTTTTTGATCTTCTCGTTCTTACTTGCAATATATCCATTGAGACTTGTGCCTACCATCTGCACTATGTGGCTTTATCTTTCTTGATCTTCTCGTTCTTACTTGCAATATATCCATTGAGACTCGTGCCTATGTGCTTCTCTCTTGGTACGCTTTGCGGGGGGAGGCGCTGCGCCCTCCTCCCTGCACCCCCCCACCCGCTTTTATTTTTAAAACGGTTCCCCTTGCTACCTACTATTCATTTTTTTTTGCATAAGCATCATCGTTTATTTGGGTTAATTTCATCTTTGCTGATATCCATCGAGACTTGTGCCTACGTGCTTCTTTCTTGATCTTCTCGTTCTTACTTGCAATATATCCATTGAGACTTGTGCCTATGTGCTTCTCTCTTGGTACGCATTGCCCCCTGCACCCCCCCACCCGCTTTTATTTTTAAACCGGTTCCCCTTGCTACCTACTATTCCTTTCTTTTTGCATAAGCATCATCGTTTATTTGGGTTACTTTCATCTTTGCTGATATCCATCCAGACCTGTGCCTATGTGCTTCTTTCTTGATCTTCTCGTTCTTACTTGCAATATATCCATTGAGACTCGTGCCTATGTGCTTCTCTCTTGGTACGCTTTGCGGGGGGAGGCGCTGCGCCCTCCTCCCTGCACCCCCCCACCCGCTTTTATTTTTAAAACGGTTCCCCTTGCTACCTACTATTCATTTTTTTTTGCATAAGCATCATCGTTTATTTGGGTTAATTTCATCTTTGCTGATATCCATCGAGACTTGTGCCTATGTGCTTCTTTCTTGATCTTGTCGTTCTTACTTGCAATATATCCATTGAGACTTGTGCCTATGTGCTTCTCTCTTGGTACGCATTGCGGGGGGAGGCGCTGCGCCCTCCCCCCTGCACCCCCCCACCCGCTTTTATTTTTAAACCGGTTCCCCTTGCTACCTACTATTCCTTTCTTTTTGCATAAGCATCATCGTTATTTGGGTTAATTTCATCTTTGTTGATATCCATCGAGACCTCTGCCTATGTGCTTCTTTGAAAGACCCTTGGTGAAATCTAAAGAAACCCTAAAGAATTCCTGATAAGAACTCCTGATAAGAAACCCCTACATGAAACACTAGATGAACCCTAAAGAAACCATAAATTAACCTAAAGCAATGAATGAAACCCTAACGAAAGATTGAATGAAACCCTAAATGAAATCTTAAAGAAACCCCAAGCGACACCCTAAAAATTCTGATTGAAACCCTAAATGAAACCCTAAAGAAACCCTGAATGAAACCCTGAATGAAACCCTAAATGAAACCCTAAAGAAACCTTAAAGAAACCCACATGAACGTTTGAAAACCTTGACAAGATTTCCTGAAAAGAAACCCTTTTTAAAACCTACATAAAACCCTAGATGAAACCCTAAAGAATACCAAAATCAAACCCTACATGAAACCCGACAGAAACCCCAAATGAAACCCTAAAGAAATGTAAATCTTAAAGAAAAAACAAGGTGGGGGGTCAAAGAAACAAGGTGGGGGGTCAAAAAAACAAGGTGGGGGGTCAAAAAAACAAGGTGGGGGGTCAAAAAAACAAGGGGGGGGTCAAAAAAACAAGGTGGGGGGTCAAAAAACAAGGTGCCCTGTTGTTTTTCATGCTTCTCTCAGCTTTTGGTTCATGTCCAAAAGTCGTTGCTTGTTCGCCCACTTTGTTAAAAACTTAATTTGTCGTGAATAGATCCAAATTTCTGGTGGCTGAGGTCCAATCAAATCCACGTGTTTGTTTCAGAATCTTGATGTTTAAACCCCTATGCCTATGTTTGATGCTTAAAACATCTTAAAACCATGTTTTTTTTTGGCATGTTTTTTGATGGTTAACCCCCTATTTTCCATGGTCGTGCGTCCTGATGTTTGATGGTTTCCCCAAGGTCCCCCTCCAAAGACGACCTTGACGAAGGGATTCTGCGCAGTGAAGGCTTTCAGGCTCCGGGGAGCCGTTGAAAATGCTGGTGGTGGTTGAAAAACATCAAAAAATAGTGATGGATTAAAATACTATATGGTTTCAACCAGAAATAACACATATTTCATGGTTAAAATATGTTAAAATGGTGAAATCACTATACATGGTTAAATCACCATCAACAAATGGTGATTTCACCATCAACAAATATGGGTTTTACCATGGGTTTTACCACCAACGATAGTGCCAACCAAGAAACTAAACCAGGAATTTTGCCAGCAAAAGTGGATTTTTGGAGCACGCATTGGGATTTAAAAGAACATTTAGCAAAACCAAATAGGAATTATTTATTTTCATAGCCAGCAACAAAAAATAGGTTTCTTTAAACCAACAACAATGACATGACATGCGAGTTGCATAAGATTGGCAAGTTGGTTAAGCTTGGAAAACGGGAGCTTAAGCAATAACAATTAGGGTTCAACAATGGTAAGTTGGTCAAACATGCGATTTCAACCAAGAAGATGAATGGGAAATGCATAGAAATGAACCGTCAAACATATGGGTAAATGACGATAAATGTGTAATTCCAGACTTGGGCAAACCATGCGCACTACATGGGGGTGGGGTTCCGCTTAATTCGAGTGGGTATTGTATACTGCATAGTCACAACTCACAGAGTTATATGCCAACTTATAGGGGCTATAGTTGTAACATGTTATAGCCATGGTTATGCAATGAATTCAACCCAGTTTATCGATCCAAAGTCTACGTCAGACCCAACTGAGTTGAAATGACAAGGGCTGACAATGGGGTCCATACCATGGATTCCAGCCTATTGGCTTCCATTCCACCCCAGATCAATTTTCTGTGCAAATTGGAACCATGAATCTTTACATGTAAATACGGATTGATTAGGTTACATGTCTATACTGTCTATATGTCTGTGATTGTACATGGGATTTTGTTCAATCTTCACAAGTTTTTCCATATGAAGCACTTCAATGAAACTCGTTTCTTTGCCATGGATATTTTCTTTAGTGTATATATATATACACATTGAAATATTTGTATACACATGTTAGAAACATACAATCCATTTATGGGGACCTTGCGAAGCGAGGAGAGTTGGGTGGCATGGCCAGGTTGCATCCATACCCTCTGGTTCTGTCAAAATAGCTATTGAAAATGGCCATAGAAATAGTTAATTTACCAATTAAAAATGGTGATTTTCCAGTTCGCTATGTAAACGTTTACCAGAGGGTAATATGTTGAGTGGTTAGATTCTTAGACCCAAATTACAGGTTATTGCTGGTATTTAAACAACGTTAGATCAGGCATCTATTATATATACCCCAAAAAAAAGGTCCCGTGGAAAGCCAAACATTGAGTTTGGATTTTCCTATTGATTCATTGGACCATTTTGGGTTTCGATGTTGCGTATATAAAGTGGTTCGATTATATGAATATGGCAAAGCCAACAATAGCCATAATAAACCTAACAGTTGGAGATGGTTTAGACCACCCATTTATGTTTAAGGGAAAAATTGCCGGAAAGCCCCATATTTAATGGGAAAATACCTATGGTTTCCGGTTAAGATATTCCCTTGCACCAATCCATTGAATTTTATGATTTCGGGAATGGTTTAGTATCTTGGAGATTGGTAATAGACACATTGGTTAACATGTTTAACTGTTTATTAGTTAAGAATCCAATCATAATTTTGGAGATTGGTATACGAGTTAGTTTACTATTGGTTTCACATGCTCACTCCCCTTTTCTCCAGCTTGAGCCATTGAGTCGAGCTTCGCCGTTTCCGAGCTGACCAACCCGCCCAAAGCGGCGTCCAATAGTAAGGACTTGGCGCGGAAACTCAGTTGGACTTGGGTGTTGGAAAATGGGGTGTTTGATCATATCCATCTCTGGTTTCAATGGGAAAAAATCATGGGACAAAATCCACATGGGAAATCCACATCCGAATGAGAAATCCACATGGGGAAAATCATGGAGATTTTCTTCATGGGAAAATCATGGGAAACTGCCGCACTTTTTATAGAGGTCAAAAAGCTGGGGAATTTTCCTGCTAGCCATGTTTGATTGCGAGAGGGTAATCTGAAGTTTCTTGATTGGTATCTATATTAATATGTTTTTAAGTATATTATAGTATGATATCTAAAATTATATACATAATGATGCAACCACATGCAGTGTATATTATATAATCTATTGATGCGCGCTATGTTTCAAGTTCTATTTGATTCAATGTTCAATGTAATCTTTTTAGTTGGCTGGCTTATTGGCAGTTATTATATACACACATAACATAACATAACATAACATTACATACCATACCATAACATAACATAACATTACATACCATATCATAGCATAACATAACATACATAACATACATACCATACATGCCATACTTGCCACACATGCCATACATACCATACATACCATACATCATACCACACATCATACCATACACCATACCATAAATCATACCATACATGCATACCATACATGCATACCATACATGGATACCATACATGCATACATGCCATACATGCATACGTCCATACATGCCATACATGCATACATGCATCCATGCATCCATGCATCCATCCATCCATGCATCCATCCATCCATGCATCCATCCATCCATACATCCATAGATCCCTACATCCCTACATCCCTACATCCCTACATACATACATACGTACATACATACCTACCCACCAACCTACATACATATATACATAAATACAGATAGACAGACAGATATACATACGTACATACATACATACACAAATACACACATACACACATACACACACACACATACACACACACACATACACACACGCACACACACACGTATATATATATATATATATGTATATATATATACACATAGAATTCCATTGCTTCCCGTTAAATCCGATTGAACCGCCACTTCTGATGGTTAAACCACCAATTTCTGGCCCATGGTGACCCAACAGCTGCAGCTGGTGGCCCGAGGTTGTGTTCGGTTCCTTTTTTCCACGGCAGGCGCAGGCACAGCTAGCTCTGCTAGCTCTGCGAGTTGGGGAATGTTGCGGAATATGTTCATTAGTGGATACAACCGTTCCCACGAAAAGATCAATGGATTGGTTTAAGGGGAAGTTTACAGGAAAGCCTATTATTTAATGGGAAAATCCATGGTTTCCTGTAGATTTTCCCTTAAACCAATCCATTGAAAAAAAGTAGCTCAAGGAAATCACAATATTGTCACAACCATCCCATGAAAATCATTAATCCATGTACAACATGAGTGGAAACACCATAGTCAAAGGCACGTTGTTTTTTAACCATGAAATGCAGGTCTCGTGCCTTTGACCATCCAAGTCTTGGATCAACAAAGCCCTGAGCTGTTGAATTGGGGTGGTATAGTACCATTTTAGTAACAGATTATCACCATTTGGGGAGTGCTCAAGCTAATCAATAAACCAGGGTTCTCAGTCCAGGGTTGACATTCTATTTTCATTTATCTATATTTCATATATGTATATATAACTTTATGTGAATATGTATAACAGCTGTAAAACGTGTATGATCCATGTGGCTTTCAAGGACGGCAGCCACAGTTTCTGAGAGTTTCATCCTTTTTTCACCAGGTTTCTGCATACGGGTGTGGTCAGTTTTTCCCGTGAACAGCTGAAGCAGCTTACCGCTTCATCTATTTTTTTCCCATGTTTTACTCCTAATGTCAACCCTGGATTAATAAACCCCAAACGGCTGTTTACGGCTGTTTAATTGGGAGGGTACCATTTATGTACCATATCAAGTGACTATTTGGAGGGTACCCCCTAATGAATATAAACCATGGTTTAGCAAAATCCGGGGTTGACACTACTTGCAGATTCCGTTGATACACATGTTTCTGGACAGCCTAAAGGATGACCATCGCCAGGCAGGTGCGTTGTCTCCTGATGAATTGGCCGGTCAAACCATGTGCTGTGGGACAAACAATAAACCACCCATGACTGGCAATGGTTTATACCACCTATAAAAGTGGTGATTTGGGGAATGGTTTAAAACTGTTTTACACACATTACAGAGAATCATGTTTATGTGCGTATTATTTGCACGCTTGTACATCTAAACTTGCTCACATTCGGTCAATGCAATCGTATCGTGACGTATCCAAACTGTTGTTCGGTCATGTTTGCCGATTCGAGAGTCTGATTAGCTGGCCATACTGGTTGCGTCAGCTGTTGGCTTTTATAGTCATTGGGAATCGAAGCCATGCATCAAGATCTAGGAAATTCATCGAAATTCGCCATCGTTTCTGGATGAACATTGAATCCTTGGCACTCCACCGTCCACAATGGCGCTGTCGTAGGTCACTTGGAGCTTATTGCAGCGTTTCCTTTCCAATGAAGAGGAGGGGAGTGATCAGGATTTTTTCAGATTTTTCCCTAATCAGGAGGTAATTTCGCATTTCAAGTGGGCATTCAGTTCAGCATTATTCCACCATCCACTCTGAGGTTTTAACATTGCAGGTTTTCCAATGTTGGATCCAAAAGAAACGTGTCCGAAATCGCGAGAGGGAGCGAGCAGGACGTCTGGATCCCCACGATTGGCGAGTGCTCATGCGTTTCCAAAGGATGGATAACTGGAATTGTGTAGAACGTGATCAAAAAATGAACAAATAGCATCTATAAGTACTGTGCAAGGAGGTGGCTCATAATCAGCTAAGTTTTTTAATAACTAAGTAGCCGATGACGAGGTCAAACCAAATTATAACTATAGTTGAGCACCACTTTGTAAATCATATGAAGGTATTGAGATCGAAATACAGGCAAGAGGGGCTATTACACTATATCCCGTTATGTGGCTAATCCTCTTATCAAATCTGCTAACTTGTTTTGCAGTGATATGTCGTGATATAATTTTCCAATTATGCCCACATATACCCACTGTTTTTGTCCGTTATACCGTTATACCTGAATACCAAATTGTCCAATATTGATTGGTGGTTTTAAATCCCATTGTTTCACATTTCACGATATGTATATATATATATATTATTATATATACATGTGTGTATGTTTCCCTCCATCCATCCATCCATCCACCCACCCATCCATCCATCCATACATAC